GACGCCACTCCAGTGGCGAGGAAACTAGCCACTGGATTTGGAGTGGGGTGATAAATCGACAAAATCAGAAACACTCCAAGGTTGAGTTACAATTGTTTTAAATGAATTCGATACTGACCAAGACATATTGTTAAAAGCGAGGGGGTATGCACTCTCGTAATAGTCGGTTCACTCTATCTGTAATAGCACGCGTAATAATACGCGTAATAGTCGCGTAATAGCCGAAATTGTCAAAATTTTATCAATTTTGGTGTGTTTTAGGCCGTTTTTAGCTAAATTCCGATTAATTTGTGGCGTAACAGAGAGTAATAGCGTAATAGTCGGTACACAGGTTCAGAGAGCGCATACCCCCTCGGTTAAAAGCCTGAATAAGACTGTATATTAGACCATGCTTTGAAAGATATTACAGTGCTCAAGAAGTTTGCCACCTTTTGTCAAGAGACAGTCTGTTCAGTGCTAGTGACAGACAATTTCTAGCAATAAATTTTTCCAAACAAGACTATCTTTTACTAAATACTGACCACGGTCGTAATGCTCAACTTACAAGAAAATCAGAAAAAAGTGTGATTGAAAGGTACTTGCAAAGACCACAACATTTACATGGTTTATCCTTACTTGAAACATGCAAGTATTACAGCATTGGCCGTTGGAAAGAAAGAGAACATTTTCAGAATATTTCCAAAGATAACATTGGTGAATGATGAAGAACAGAATGAAGAATAATACAAACATAAAGTGCTATTGTACATTCCCTGGAGAAATGAGGAACAATTCACACAACAGAATTTGCCGTGGAAACAATCATATACCCTTTCCAGATAATGAAAGAAAATTGTTTTACTAGAATGTGTATTGCCTAATATAAACACAGTCAGCGAAGAATATGAATATGATGATTCCAATGATGATAACCACGATCAGAACTTAAAGGCTATCATGGTTGCAGCACGAATGGGACCAAACTAGAATAGTTCGCTTATTGAACTTGGTTTGAGACAGATGGATCTTGAACATGCCTGGTCAAATGGTTTGCAAGAAAATAAACAGTATGGTTCATTGAAATATTTAGAAAATTTAATTAGAACGTCAAAGCAAGAAGCAGGATTCGACATAGAGGACAAACATTTTGATTCAACAATGTACAATTGAACAACAGCAGGTCATTGCAAAAAATTTGCTGGTGTTGCTGCTTCTGTCAATTGTATAAATTCTTTCCATTTTCTTGCAGAACCCAGAAAAATTTCATCATTCTGCATTCAGACAACATCAGTAATAGAGAATTTTGCTGTAACCATTGAAATATGAAGAAGACAATACAAAGCTCACGTACAGAAAGATGTTGTACAAGTCCCACAGATGCTGGTTTCTTTAGACATTCTTCATGATTGTAAATATTACCACCATTCTGTCGAAAAATAAACACTGTCGTTGGGAACGCTGAGGTTATGACTACGTGCAATATACGCACAAATTACACACTCACCTCTAGAAAATATAATTCTAATGCATTTCGAGGGGTCCTATTCAAAAGATCTTATCTGCGCGCTCCCCCCAAGACAATCTTATCTTAAACGCATGTGAATTTTACTCAGTTTGACCATTTAATACAGCTACAAATCAAAATCATTTGTGATAAAAATTCACTGAAATGTGGAGATGAAAGATCAAAGAAACCAAAAGTACATGTAAAAATATATTCCGCTTACTCTCGTACGTGTCCCAACTGGTCAAACTGAGTGAAATCCGCATGCGTTTAAAATAAGATTGTCTTGGGGGAACGCGCAGATAAGATCTTTTGAATAGGACCCCTCGATTTGCGTAAGTTAAGTTATTTTTTTTTAGGAGTCTTTCACATGTGTAGGCGACTTTGTTGACGGGGCAGCAGCCTGACTGCTGGGGGTCGGCCAACTGATTCCGAGAGTCGTTGCTCCGTCTCTCTCGCACATGTACTCAACGCCTAATGTGTGCGAGAGAGAGCTAAGACAACGACTTTCGGAATCGGCCTGCAGGCCGAGCATCGCCACACGTCCCGATACGTCTTGCCGCGCCGAAGGATCCTTTTGTCGCTCTGTCTTTGTCCCACTCCTTACTCGGAGTAAAAAGTACGGAATGACGTGTCTGGTCAAATTTTTTACCTGGACCGTCCGTACCTTGCCATCCACGAAAGTTCTGTACATGTTTTCCGTACTAGTGTTACATGAGATCCTTGTGGAGACCACAGAGAACCAGTACGGAAGGTCCTTACCTTTTCCGTACCTCCATTTCCCGTACATTTGCTGCACAAAACCACGGATTTTTTTTTGCAGTGTGGGCGTCCCACAGGAGTGAGGGAAAGACAGAGCGCGACGCGCCGATCCTTCGGAACCAGGCGCCTGCCGCGTTGGGCGTCGATGTTATTTTGACGGGCGCGTCGACCCGTCCACCGCATACATTACGTGCTTTGCACGTCCTGACCTCCGCGTATCCTGTCGAGGAGCCGTCCTTCCTCAATGACCTCCGACCAAGGGAAAATAACTCCAGCCAAATTTGTTCACCGAAATTCATCAAACTTGTAAAATTCACTGACATTCATTTTAATTCCTCGAAATTTGATTGAAATTTATCGAAATTCGACTGAAATTCATTAATTTTGACTGAAATTCGTCAAATTTTGACAAGTTTAACGAAATTTGACTGAAATTCTTAGGATTTGTGCTCCGAAATTCACAGTTATATCCCCTTTCCTCCGACGGACCAGCCTTCCGTCCGAATCAGGCTTTTTCTCATTTGTTCGACAGTCATCAACGACGACACTGCGAGTCCAGTGGAAAATTTGCTTGCAACAAAGTTGGCAAGCAAGCCGTTTTGGAATGGCACAAATTATCATGCCTTGACCTAAAATCTTCGGAAGCTCCCCATTATTTACCGCTTTGTCCGCCTGCAATTCCAAATTTTGGCAAGGTGGAGTGTAATTCCGAGCCAGGCTTGCCAGTTTTTGGGAATCGAAACGGCTTGCCAATCATATGGTGCGCAAAGCAGCCTCTATCTATCTGGAATCAAATGTTGCAAGATTTCTCCGCAGCGAAAGGAATTAGAGCACACTCAATTCGTATACTAAACAAACTGGATATATTTTTTGTCTTGAAAGGGGTACAATAGGCACTATTTTGCTGTTTTGTTTTTAAACAATTCATTTTGTATATTTTTGCTCTGTTTTCGAATTGAATTAATGGGGTATAAGTTAGATTCGGTTTAGAGGCATTGACGCACCACTATCAACGGGCGTCTACAAGTTCGGACGGTCCATGACCGGTCAATCGAGATGCATCTGCGTGACGACTAGAGCGTATGAAACGTACAACTTTCCAGCCTTGCACTGAAAGCAACTTGGGTGTGGAGCTAGAAACTCTTAGCAACCAAATGTTTACGCTCTTTTTTGTCCATAGTTACCGTATTTGTGCAGGTGTAAGCTATTGAACTGGCATGGAAGGTTGGTCTAAGAACACGCCAGAATAAGAGTGCACTGTTAACCCAATTGTGGATCAAGTCCAATATGGTACACGCCTCGAAGCGTGGACTACCTGGCAGTCGTTTAATGCGTACTTACTGTCGGTGTATGTGTAGTTGGAGGGTTAAAATGTAATAACTCCTACTAAACCGAAACAGTCGCTTACGGCTGAGTGTTGCTCGGACGGAGGGGATCAAGGCCATGCTAACTGAGTAACTAGGACCTGAATCTTTGGGAAAGGAGGAACCACCAAGTATTCACTCCAGATGTGGTGCTGTCGAAGGCCCTGACACGTCTGCCTGCGTGTCGCTACCCGCGAGCTGGCCAAACCCAGAATCGCAAGCTAAGCAACAGTGTCGCCAGTTCGTCTTTTCTAGCCCGCGCGATTCAAACTCGCGCCATCCCTGAAACTGGCCCACACTTTTCAAAGGAGTGATTTTACTAGCCAGGGGAAGGCCTTCGGCCTCGATGCTGAGCTGGATTCTGCTGGAGATGGAAATGCATTTTCATCAGTAGTTAATTTGGATGTATTTATTTTGAAAATGGGTCTCTTTTCTTTTTGGGGGGTGATAGCCAGGAAGTATGCATTTGCACGAAGGATTGTGATTCGACAATGGTTGGTTTCTCCTTAAATCGAAGGAAGGGTATTTAATGATCTAAAACTAAATTGTCCAACCTAACCTAACCTAACGGGCTCGTGACAGATCTTACCCTACTCGTGACAGATCTTTCCCTACTCTCGATAGATCTTATTCTCAAACTAAATGGTCCAACCAATCCTAACCTAACCTAACGGGCTCGTGACAGATCTTACTCTACTCGTGACAGATCTTTTCCTACTCTCGACACATCATATTCTCAAACTAAATGGTCCAACCAATCCTAACCAAACCTAACGGGCTCGTGACAGATCTTACTCTACTCGCGACAAATCTTACCCTACTCTCGACAGATCTTATTCTCAAACTAAATGGTTCAACCAATCCTAACAAAACCTGACGGTCTAATGACAGATCTTACTCTACTCGCGACAGATCATACCCTGCTCGCTTGGACTATTGAGCTCGGACTGGGGATTATGGACTAAGGAGCTTGGACTATAGAGTTTGGACTATAGAGTTTGGACTATGGAGCTTGGACTATATGGAGCTTGGACTATAGAGTTTGGACTATAGAGCTTGGACTATGGAGCTTCGACTATGTATACGCATATGAATATAGTAAAAATAAACAGAGGAAGATACCTCTTGTAAACTAAAGGGATGGGGGGGGGGGGGGGGGGGCGGACAAATGAGCTATTCAAAATCCCAAACAGGGTGCTTCGCTTCGCTCAGCAAACAGGGTGTGGATGAAACATACCTAGAAGACTTCACAGGGTACGGTTTGGCTGAAGCATCTCGAGACGTCGAAAGTTATATTTGAGCAACGCAAGGCGTGGGAGCCTAAGGCAGCGACGGGATGGAAGAGAGAGAGATTGGTATGACGGAAGAGCGAGAGGGACGGAGTGGTGTTGTGAGTTATGTACGCCTCTCTATTGGCACCGTCGAATATAAAAGCGGACCGCGACCGCCCGTGCCTCACAATGCCTGAAGCAGTGAACACGACGAGAACCATGGGGACTTTCTCGGTGAGTTTTGTACACACTAAATGTTTATTATACAATTTTGTACGTGCCTCTTGCACGATTTTGTGCATGCGGGGAATTTGCATAATCATGCGTGAAAATGCATAAATTTATGCAAATTCACGCACAATTTTATGCACTTCGGAACACAAGTTCAAAATTAGGTACGCATCACCACGTACAAAATTGTACATAAACATTCAGTGTGTAGCCTGTACGTACATAATTCATGGAAAATTTTATACCTGATCGAAGGAAAAAGGATTATCCAAGGTGCTACAAGACACAACTAACCATCTCTTGTTTTGAGAAGTTTTCTGCCAGTAATGGATACTTTTTGAGGGCGGATAATAATCCCGCAGTTTGGAAAAAAACCTATGCGATTGGGAAGAGTTTGCGCCATGAGGATAATTCAAGATATTAGATCAAAGCTACTTCCAGGCCCTCCCCTCTCATAAAATTACACACTCTGCACTCGAATGAGCATTCCAGGCCAGACCACCTGGGACTCCAAATTTTACGTCTCAGATTTTGTTAAGGCCTTACGTTAGGTCAGGTCGTTTAAAACACTTATCTGAACACATTTTTTTAAAGATGAGGGTTTTGGGACTGCTTTGTGCTGAATCTATGTTCCTAGATGGAACAGTCACTTTACCATTTTATTGAAAAAAGCTAAAATTTCATCTTGCGCGCGCTAAGTTTCTTCGACAAAAAATGAGACCATTGGAACGCTCCACAACAACCACCTCCAAACCTAGAACAGAAAGTTAGAACAGCTTTAAAAAAAGTCATGGCAAGCTTTTATTGTTTAAACGAAAGTTAAAACTTTGGTTTTGAGGGTTTTTTCTGACAAAGACTCTTTGTCACGAACATTCATCGTAAATTCATGAAAATTCTTCGTAATTTACAAATATCTTCGTGAATTGATAAAGAAATTTTGGCATCATATTTGCCCGACACCTGCGTTAACTCACAATTTGTATTTCATGTAGTGCACAGTCTCTCGTTCGCTGATTTTCAATGTTCAGTTGCTTTCATGTTACTAATGTGTTGCAGACGAGCCTGGTGGTCATCATGGCTGCAGCCATGGTGTCAGCGCAGTATAGTGGAGGTGGTGGTGGTGCCTATGGAGGCGGCGGCGGCGGCCCCTACGGAGGTGGCGGTGGATACGGCGGCAACGGAGGCGGCGGCGGCGGTAATGGAGGCTATGGTGGTTATGGAGCGAACGGAGGCTATGGAGGTTATGGATCGAACGGAGGCGGCGGCGGTGGTTACGGAGGCTATGGAGGCAACGGAGGCTATGGAGGTTATGGAGGCAACGGAGGCTATGGGGGTTATGGAGGTGGAGGAGGCGGCGGCGGCGGATATGGAGGTGGAGGCGGCGGAGGCGGTTAATATCACCGCTTAGACATCATTTTTCTTTGACCGCGCCTTTACCATGCCTGTGAATCTCGTCAACATAAAGTTAAAAAAACATATGTCAAAAATTGTCAAAATAAAATATCACGTTTACGAGCAAGCTGCTTCCATTTTAGATCCTGTGCCTTATCGATCTCGTCTTCTTCTTTGCAAACCAAACGCCAACTAAACAAGATTATTCTTAGTGAATTGGAGTTAATTTTTTATTTCTTTGCTGTAAATGCATTTTGTAAATCCCTACCATGTTTCAAATTTTTGCGGAAAATTCATGTAAATTTCCGGAACTGTCTTTTTATTCCTCATTGTCAGTCCGCGGCAACCAGACTCCGTGCAAAACTAAAATCAACCAGGATGCAGATGCAATCTTTTGACCCATTCGATCTGGCCTCTTTTCAACTGCAACCGTTTTTGGACTATCATTTGATGATTGTTTTGATTATTTATCTTTGGCGCAAAACACATTCTTTTCTTTTCTTTAAAAAAAAACACATTTGTAGTCCATGACAGTCATGGCGTTTATCCTTTTCACTACCACCGACCATATTTCTTTGTAGAAAACAAGCTGAAACACTGCAAACCATACTTACCCAACGACATTTTGGCCGGATCAGCCGAGCCGGAGTGGAGCACTGAGGATGGACAGATGTAGGCAAGTCCACGGTTTGAAAGAGCAACATAGTAACACCTATTGCCTTCTTACAGGGAGGTTTCCAGGTAAAATCCTAGTGAGCGAGTGCAAGTGGGTGTGAGTTTAAGCCTGGAAATAGCACAGAGAGTGCAAGAAGTGGTAGGCCCCTCGGGTTCCGCACACTGCACTCTCAGACTCGCACTGAGTTTTCGTTCAATGACTAATGGGCCTTTGTACGCATAAGCGTATTACAATCAATTTCGTCTTGACAAATCTGTTTTGATTTCTTTTGAACGTGATTACAGCCTCGTCCAGGCCCGCGGGACCAGCCTTGGGACCAGCCGATTCGCATTCAAACGAACGTGACGTCACTTTCACGGCCCAGTGCTTCTGAACGAAATTCTTTTCACGCGCACAAACGTCAATGAATATTGATAAAATATCGATTGGAGGAGGAGGGTGTGCTTGTAGCAAGTAATACCTGTGCTTGCCGCAGGCTGGGGGATGCAGCGGCGACCGGCAGGGGGGGAGAGGGAACCGTGCACTCACCCTCACCGGCAGCTTTGGGTGCCTTCTTGCGCGTCGATACATTCTCTTCTCTATTCTCTTCAAAATCACTACATCTCCTGACTCCAGGTGCCGTCCCAAGTCAGTAGTACACACAAAGTACTCTAAATCTTCGAGATACACCGCATAAGCAAAGCCTTAAACAGATGAACATCACATGAGCCCAATTTTCACCCGTTTATGTTGCACTTTGTGACTAAAGAGGTTAGCGATGCAGCAGGAGTACAAACACCACACTCCACAAACCAGGAGCACATGTCCAAAGCACATTTAGAGCGGCACAAGATGTGAAAATCAACTCACGTGGTCATGTTGAGAATGGATGGTGTGTCCAGGGGAAACTAACAATTTGAAGAGACGAGGGAGTTGTGCGAGCTCAGAGCCGGCCAGACGGCCACGGGCCGCCCGGACCCTTCCCCTCCCCTCCCCCGGCCTCCACCTCCTCCCCCTCACCTGAGGAAAGGGGGAGAGGAGGAGTAGGGCGACGTGGCCGAGCCCCTGCGAAGTGTTGGGTAGGCCAGCCCGCCCAGCAAGCGCACCTGCGTGGCTGCCTACCCTGGACGTCGCAGGCGCTCGGCCGCGGAGTCGAGGGACCGGACCGAGGGGGAAACGACTGAGAAATTTTGTGTACATCGGATAGGGATAATCCCGGATAACCCGCGGATTACCTTCGGATTCCATCGAAAAATTTCCATGATTACCATTGGATTGCGCCGGATTACCCCGGATTACCTCAGAATTTCCCCGGATTACCCCGGATTACCGCAGAATTTCCCCGGATTACTTCGAAATTTCTGGTTATCCGGATAGCGGATAACCAATTTGCTGTACATCGGATAACCGAAGTCGTTTCCCCCTCGGACCGGACCGAGTACTAACGTATAGAAATAGGGAGAGTGTATGTAATTAGAAGCACATTTCAGAAGTGCAGCCTGGGAGTGTATTGGAAATGACAAGCTGAATTGCATGAGGAAACGCACATCAATGTGCACCCAGGACTCGATTCGAAATCTGTTGTAGTGAGTATTGTGCGTATTACACTGAGAATGAATTGGTCACCACCATCACCCTTTAAATAGGTGATGCAACTTCGTTGCCCAAATTGTGGTGACGAAAAATTCATCACCCGAAATTTGGTAACAGGCGTTTGGTCGCCCAAATTTGGATAACGCCCTCGGCGACGCCGTGAGGTTCCCGATGACGTCCTTCCGGGGCCACCACGATGACCGGAGGCCTCAACGCCCCATTGGGTCATTGTGGTGGCCCCGGGAGATCGTCATCGAGGACCTCACGGCGTCGCCAACGACGTTACCCAAATTTGGGCGACGATTTTATGACTGCCCAAAATTTGGTCACCGCGGGCTCGTCACCCAAATTTGGGCAACGGCGCGTGCGTTACCCAATGAAAGGGCGATGGTGGTGACTCTTTCATTCACAGTGATTCTGTCGTAATGTAGTGGAAGTTGCACGGGTGATTGCAGCGAGCACTGTAATCGGCTACTTCGCTTGCAACTGTGGTTCAACTGTGGGCTGAGTGCATGCACCCAACTGCAGTTTGCAGTTGCAATCCGGACAGCATTCCTAACACAGATTTGCTTGGTATATTTTCTACACACAAACTACAGTCGCAACTTGCGGTTTCTACACTGTAGTCCAAACTTAGTAAGGACTACAGTCCTTTCCACCCAGGAGTTAATCCCTTAAGATTCTGGGCGTGCATGAGAAGTAGCTGGACAGGAACGGAGGAGAACGCCTCCTCAGAATGTCCTGAGCAACTCCAGAGTACGCCATCATTGGGCATTGCCATCCACTCAAAAATTTAAATTTCACCCGGAATAATTGCCCTTTCCGGGACGGTCCCTACGCTTGCCGATGGTTACCTCGGCACATTGAGCGTGCGCGCACCGGATAGACCCGTGGACAACTTCGGGCTGTCCGATACCTGCGTTACCATCGGCTAGTCCACTTGGTTGGGTGGTCCACCCGGTCCACCCGACTCGCGTTCGAAAAGTCAAGTTTTAGACGCATCCTTGTTGTGCTTTCGACAGTCACTCAGCTATAGATCGACCTCAGCCACTGCCACACAGAATCGGTTGGGTAATTTCAGGATTTGCGGATAGGTGGCAAGTTTACATGCTACAAAATTGGCAAGCCGCTTTGATCCAAAAATTGGCAAGCCTGGCCCTGATATACTTCCCAGTATGACAAATATCCACGAGCTAATGAGGATTTCGGGTCTAAGCTTGCCAAACTTTTGGCATTCGAAACGGGTTGCCAATTTTGTGGCACTTGCCACAGGTTTGCAGTTGGAATTATATTCTTACACACATTCGCTTAAATCTTGGGTTAGATAAAGGACACTTGGACACGTTTTCACTCTATTTTATTAGATTTCAGATTTTCAGCGTTTTATGTTTCTCAGTAATTTAGAGTCGGAGTGAATATGTCAGCGGATCGCCATCGGCATCTAGAGTCTTTGTGGTCGAAATTGGTGATCGTTGCGGTTGCCACCTTAGGTGTTGAGTAAAGAGTTGACAGTTTGAGGGTGACAACCATAAACGTCAAAGCTCATGGTGACCAAAATATCACTGGATTTCGCGTCACTGTCACTGTTGGTTTATTGACTAGTATCCTGGCGCCCCAGGTGCGCCGGCGCCGCCTGCATTTCCGGGAGCTCCTGCTCTTCCTCCAGAGGTGCCGTATCCACCTCTCTGTCCCCCGCTGTAGCCGCCTCCGCCGCCGTTCTGACCGCCGCCGTATCCGCCTCCACCGCCGTTTTGTCCGCCGCCGTATCCGCCGCCGCCGCCGTTCTGTCCGCCGCCATAACCGCCTCCGCCGCCGTTTTGCCCGCCTCCGCCGCCGCTGTAACCGCCGCCGCCGCCGTTTTGTCCGCCGCCGCCGTAACCGCCTCCACCGCCGTTCTGTCCGCCGCCGCCGCCGTACCCAACAGGACCTCCTCCGCCGCCGCCGCCACCACCGCCGCCGCCGCCTCCTGCGGACAGGAAAAAAAAATCATTTTTCAGGGCTATTTTACAGGATTTTTAATTGGTGATACCTAAACTACACACGTCAAACAAACCTAGGGTCGTCTAGATTTAACTCCCACAAAGATTCCTTTTCTGGATCATTAAAACACTATTCTAAAAATTAAAGTACAACGCTAATAAATGTGATACTCTGAGCCACAATTAATGGAACTGCTTTGAACTTAAAGTGTTAGAGGACCTCACTTCACTACGTACAAATTCTTCATAAAGTTTTAACCAGACATTTTTTTCAGTGTGTGTTCCCTCGGCAATTCTTTTTTTTCCGTTGGTACCTCTGTAACGAGCTCTGTAATTTCCGGAGCATGAATTGTTCGTACGGTGCACGCACTAATGAATGACAAGTTACTTACCGCCGCCAGGAGCGCCGGGTTGTCCAGGTTGTCCGGGTCCACCGCCGCGGCCGCCCTCGCCGTAGAGAGCTCTCAAGTCCCGGCCGTCGGGGCCGAGGAGGATCGCGTCATCGCGGGCAGCGACGCACACCGTCGCCACCGCCAGCATGGCCACAAGCTGAGACATGAGAACAGTCGACACGCTTTAAAACTTATGAAATTTTATTACCACAAGACAGGTATAAACTATTCAGTTTGTAGTAATACGAAGAAATCGAGGAAGAAATAGTTCGTTAATAACGAAGTATTTTCTTTGTAAACAAAATACTTTGCTATATCAAGCTACTTTCTTTCGTGCGCACACTTCTTGTTTATGTACAATTTTGTACGTGGTGATGCAAATTCCACGTATGCACAAAATCGTGCAAAGTTGCACGTACAAAATTCGACTTAAACATTTAGTCTGTGAGGCCTAAAATAGTTTGAAGCGTTTTAAGAGGAGAGGTGTCAATGCCTTCAAGTTGGCAAAGAAAAACGCCTCGTCTGGGAGTGACGCGCTGAACGAGGAACGGGTCAAGTTGCGGTCGATGACCCGTCCGGCCCACAGACCCACATCAACACACTCCATCTACGCGCCGCCAAGTTCAATGTCGGCACTAGGAAGGTCGACCGCGGCAAGGCCAGCAGCTCAGTCGGCCACACGAACTTTTTTAGCGGGGTTTTCATTTTTTTTATCGTGTTGGTGCGCCACTATCGACTACTTTGCTCACCGTCCAGGTCGCCATGATGCCGCCTGCTGTGCTTCTCGCTGAGTAACACAGCTGAGGCTTAGCCAAGACGCTTTATAGACGAGTGTCCACTTGCCCTTCCCCCACCAGTTTGTCACGCGAGTTCGAACGGACTGTATTCAGAGACAAAAGGCAAGCAGACAGGAAGGGGAAGATGTCTCCCTCGCCTCCTCCTACACTTTCTCGTCTCTCTCGCTCTCACGCATCTCTTCTGTGTTCGACAGCTCTCTCTCTCCCTCCCCCTCTCTCTCTCTCTCTCTCTCTCTCTCTCTGTTTTTTTTTTGCGCATGAAACTGAGTCAAACTTTAAATGGTTCTTGGTAAATCCACGTACATTCATGAAATTCACCTCAAATTTACGAAGACTATTACCGCAATAATAAAGAGACTAGAGCAATTTTTCTCCGAAGATACCTTTTGTTTGGAAATTCAACCAGAAAGCGGAATGAAGACCAAGGGGAATAAGAGGCACTTGAATCAGTTTTGGAGGGTTTGACGGGTTTAAATCGTGTAATTGATCTTTGGTTAATTTTTGACTATTTTTGGAACCCAAATGAACAGAATATTCACAAACTGTTGAGTATAACTTTGAAAAACTTAATTAGTCACGGTTTGCCGTATTGTATGGATTCATCATCGTTTAGCAAATTGTTTAGACGGCTTCTCTCGCATTTCACTCAACGCAAAAATAATTTTTCGGGCGTGATTATTATTGTATCAAAATTAATTTATTCACGACCTTCAATGTAACCGGGCCCCCTCCCCTCCCCCCTAAAAATTAAAACATTTTTCTCTCTCTCTCTCTCTCTCTCTCTCTCTCTCTCTCTCTCTCTCTCTCTCTTTCTCTATCTGTTATCGGTTTCTTTCATTCCTCTCTGCGCCCACTCTCCCTCTGGACCCCCTCCCTTGCCCCCTCCTCTGCCTGCCTTGTATGTTTAGAATGAGGAACGACGACGCCGGCCGGTACGTGCCGCGGTGCGCGTGCGTCACTCAGCCACGGGCGGATCCAGAGACGGTTTGGAGGGAAGGGCGGGGGGGGGCAAAGTTGCGTACGCACAGAGGACAAGACTTTTTGACATTTGCAGGCTTCGGACATTTTGACACCCACGTCCAATAGCTTCGAGACTCACCCTTTTCTAACATGTGCGTTACCATTTGTTACCATTTTAGCTTAACACGTCGCAAACATTTTTAGGGGTTCCCAAGAACCCCTATTGTCCGAGGTCCGTGGATTCCTTCCCCCCCCTCCTCTCCGATTTTCAAATAAACTGCGCTAAACTATTTCAACCATGGAAAAAACGAAAATTCCAATTTCTTTCGAAAATTCATCGTGGAAATTTTGCGTAAACTAGAAAAACATAAATTTGCAACAATCGAAAACGAGAACCGTTAATGATATGAAAAAATGGTTCGAATAAAAAATGTGCCACTCCTCAAAACTAAACCTCCTGGCTCATCAAAGTAACGAGAAATCGTCTGTGTACTGAGCAAATGGTTAAAACATGAAAAAAAAATCTCCATGGCAACGGCATGGTCCCATCGTACCACCCGTCAAAATTCAAAGTCGCCGATAAAGAGAAATCAAAACGCCGTGAAATTCGAAAATGCTAATGCTAACGCATTGCACGGTGTCCCGACGTTGGAACATCTTTATAGTCTGTCACTAGTAAAAAGTTCGTAGCAGAAACGACGCATCAAATTAATTTTCGTGGGTTGGCACCGATTTGCTTGCCGTCTGCGCCCTTTCGAAAATCGCGAGGCTGAAAAAACGAGTAGGCGCGCATTGAAACTGCCCCTCCATTGTTGCTGAGGTTGGATTGTTTGGCATGCTTTTAAAGGCGGCGGTTGTCTTGTCATGTTTTCCTCAATTCTGTGGAACAATTCTTACTCACAACGTAAAAATAGCACGATGGTTGGTTTGACAAATTTTATAAACTCGGGAGGGGTGATTTCGGAACGCGGGTGACTTTCGTTCGGCGAACATGAGCACTGTAAGTCGCGAGATGGAGTGAGGTGGTCATGGTTTTAACTGAATCAGGTTTGACCAGAACTCTTTCCTATTGGTTAGTTTGAATTTAGCGCATGCGCACTTTGAAATTCTTGGGTTTTCTCTTAATCATTGAACAGTTGACACTGGCACGGTCCAATACATGGCTATTTCAAAATAGCCAAATGTGAAAATGGGAACACCTTGCAATGCGATTAGCATTGGAATTTTTCAAATTGGCATGCCCAGACTGAGCGCCTCTGTGACCTAAAAGAACGTGCGTGCACTGGAAACCAACGTCTGTCACGTCGCATTCTTTTCCACACGCAAACTACAATGCCAATTTGATCGTGACAAACGGTGAAAATCGACACTTAAGGGGGCTCATACATGTTTAAAGCACTTCGTAAAAACATTTTTTTTGTGTAGAAGGATCAAGATTTTATGGTTTTTGTGTTAAAACGCTTTAAGATAATTGAGTAAGCTTCATTTTGACATAAAGTAAAGTGACTTTGGACATTTTGTAGAAATTTAGTAGAAACGTTTAAAATTTTGGTTCTCGTTAGATTTTCTTCCCATACTTGCTCAGATCTGTGGGGGAGAAATCAGGGACAACGAATGTGACACACTGAACCGCTTTGTCACATTACTTCGGGTGTGACACGAAATCAGTGGGTGAACTGTCAGATTAAAAAGAATGGCATACAGGACATGAGCCCCGTCCCGTTTGAGCCCCGATGGTCTGAGCCCCGACCTGAGCCCCAACCTGAGCCCGGGTTGAGCCCCGACTTGAGCCCCGACCCAAGCCCCAATTTTCAGAGCCCGGTTTGAGCCCCGACCTGAGCCCCGTTTGAGCCCCATTTGAGCCCCACTTGAGCCCCGTGGCAATAAATCATGCAAAAAAATGCCTGATTTCAGGTCGCGGGGCTCAAATGGGGCTCAAACGGGGCTCACGTCGGGGCTCAATCCGGGCTCTGAAAATTGGGGCTTCGGTCGGGGCTCAAGTCGGGGCTCAACCCGGGCTCAAGTTGGGGCTCAGGTCGGGGCTCAGACCATCGGGGCTCAAACGGGACGGGGCTCATGTCCTGTATGCCAAAAGAATGTGACACAGTAGTACTGTCACGTTCGTTTCAATGTGACACGCCATGATTGTCAGATCATGAGGTCTCACGTTCGTTTTAATGTGATAATTTGGGCAGTAAGGCACAGCACTTATTACTGGGAGCTCCAGTTAGTTAGTAAGAGTGCAGTCACCAGATTACGAGAAATCACTTTTCAGCGTGCGGACAATAAATTGAACAGAAAATGCTATCAATGTTTACGATGTAGAACAAACGACATTGTTTTGATTTTGGCCCCTGTGCGAAATGGGTCTGTCCGATTGAAACCAGTCCGAGACAGTCAAGAGCTGCCCAGACTGCTGAGGGCGATGTCCGGATCCGACCGGATCGCCAAACAGGCGATATCTTTGGTCTCCCGCCAGACAGCAATGAAGGGTTTCCCCAAATCGCCAGCGAGCTGCGTCAGCGTGTGTGCGCGCATATGGGTTGGGTGTGTGTGTGCGCGCGCGCAAGTGTGTACGTGTGTGTGCTCTGATCGGGCACCTTGACGTCATGTGCCCAAGAGGTGATTGTTGTTTCATGTGACCCGCTGTCTCCATTTTGGAGAACCAACGTCTTGACAACGACTCTCTTATTCTGAGAGCAAGCACCTTTGTCAGTTCCATCGACTTTTAGGGCGCCTCAAGGTTCTTTATGTGAAAGAGCCAATAGGCGATTCTGAAGGGCCTATGTAGTTCCCCGCCGAGATTCCTTGCAGACAAACTAGTCGATGAATGATAGCATCTGATTCATCCAAGAAGCGTCTGGATTCAAAGGTGCCCCCCATTGAAACACCTTTGCCTGGTGTGGCCGTCCATAAACTTTGTGCAGCCTGGCACAGGTATTTGCTGCTTTGCTCAGACCCTGCTCCCTGCAATGCGTATGAGAAGGTGGGAAAGGTGTTTGGCACCAAAACGCCTTTGTCAATGGCTGGTAAATGCGAGGGGGAAATCACTCGCGTAATAGCCGGGTCACCGATTCCGAGTATTACGCGTAATAGTAATAGCGTAATAGCCAAATTTTTTAAAATTTTCTCTATTTAGGGTCCGATTTTAGCCTGAATCTGGATATTTTGGAGCGTAATAAGTCTTCTGTAATAGCGTAATAGAACGTAATAGGGAGTAGTCGGGTCACAGTTTTTAAGAGTGATTCCCCCCTCGGGTAAATGTTGGCAAAAGAGCGCCCCAGGCCGAGGAGCAAACAGCTTAGAAAAATTGTGTACACCGTTATTTCAAAGTCACGTTATTTCAAAGGAAATGTACATGAAAATTCGAGTTGTTTCCTCAGTCGAAGATTGCTTTCTTTCGTTGACTGGTTTGTCTGCATAAGGTGCCTCGGCAGAGAGCGAAACTTTTAGGAAGAAACGCCAAGGCGTCCCAAAAGAAGTAAGAATGTACTCGGTTCACGTAGTCAGTCACCAATACTTCAATAACACGGCGTAGTAACCGGTAGTAACATTACTGATCTGCCCGTTAAAACAAAAAGTGACATATCCCGGTTTATCGGTTTCTCCTTTCCACGAGTGATCTAAGCTTTGTCAGTTCTTTGCGAAAGAATGAAAAATGCACCTCAAAAAGTCACAAAAACCGTTAAGTTTATTGTTTATTTAACGTAGCTTTTTCATTATACATTTTACTCTGCTAATATTTGGAAAGAGTCACAAAATGGCTGAAGCGATGGACTGAACTTCTTAAAAACAAGAGAAAGACAGCAAAAAAAGAAGACTTTTTCTCAGAGTGTAGTGTGGTGCAAACGGCCAATCACCGATTCGAACGATCTGATTGACACTGACGAGTGGGCTAAGCTGGAGTAGCTAGGACGAGTGGGCCAAGCTGGAGTAGTTAGGACGAGTGGGCCCAGGTGGAGTAGCTTGGACGAGTGGGCCCAGGTGGAGTAGCTTGGACGAGTGGGCCAAGCTGGAGTAGTTAGGACGAGTGGGCCCAGGTGGAGTAGCTTGGACGAGTGGGCCAAGCTGGAGTAGTTAGGACGAGTGGGCCCAGGTGGAGTAGCTTGGACGAGTGGGCCAAGCTGGAGTAGTTAGGACGAGTGGGCCAAGCTGGAGTAGCTAGGACGAGTGGGCCAAGCTGGAGTAGCTAGGACGAGTGGGCCCAGGTGGAGCAGTTAGGACGAGTGGGCCAAGCTGGAGTAGAGGCCGACTAGGCTAGCGCCGAATCGGCCGACGTTCCTTCGGGGCTCCTCAGCCCTGCATCCACGGCGGGCACGGTGCGTCGGGGCCTCGGGGTCCTCCGGGGCCGCCGGGCGCCCCGCCCGAACCGTAGTGTCCTCGCTGCCCGTCGCTGGAGCGTCCCTGGCCACAGGCACGGCCAGCACCGCCGCCGCCCCCGCCGCCACCACCGCCACCGTAAGGACTCCGGGCTACGCGCATGAGCCTCTCAGACAACGCCTCGGATCTGCTCGGCGCAGCCATGTGCAGGACCACGACGGCCAGCACCAGGAACGCAACCTGCAGGCACAGAGACGATCATTAGCGCTCTGAAAACCATACAAACTATTTAAGGCCTTACAAGGAACCGCAGCTTGTTTTATCAAAGTATTTGGAGCACACATAAGCTTACAAAGAAAATACTTCGTAATTTACGAACTGTTTCTTCAAAAAAGTAAATTATAGTTTACACTCTTATCATTCCAGGACGCGACACTTTGAGAGCATTGTGTCGCACATTCGTTTGAATGTGAATTGGCCAAAAATTAGCTTGTTCACATCCAAACGAATGTGACACTTTATCACGTTCGTTTCAACGCGATGTCACGCGCTGGGAATGAGAGTGTAAATGCTCAAAACACTTCGTAAGGTTTGAAGCGTGTAGATTAATCACAGCTCACGTGACGATTTCGCCGTTTTCCCTAATATTCAACGAATCTGGCAGGCTCGTTTCGATAGAGATATTAGTTAGAAGGTAAATTTCGTCACGTTCGTTTGAATTTGATGCCACGTACGTTAGAACTTGACACGGCCGTTTCGTTAGGATGTCACGCTCGTGTGATCGTGGATCAAACACTTAGCATTTTTTAAAGTATTGCAATTGCAAATTACTGTACTCATATTCTCTCTTTTTTTTTTAAGACTTTCAAAGAAATTTTCAACAAATGGGAAAATGTCAGTGCCGGGCTGTGTCGGCCAAAGTCGACAGTGCGATACGATTGCAGAGTCGCAAGCGACCAGTGCACGAGTGCACTTTCAGACTGCACATTTCGCTCAAGACTATCTAGCAGAAAGTTGAACCCTACGTTTGAAGTCAATTCATCCCACCCCTTCCATCTACCCCTGCCTACACTCTCAGCCTCCCATTGGCTTATTCTCTCTGCACTGTGGCAAAAAGGTACGGAAAATCCTGTTAATTTTTTTGCCAGTATTCTCCGTAGCCCTCTTATCAATATTCTCCGTAGGTTCTTACAGTATTCTCCGTAGGTTCTTACAGTATTCTCCGTAGGGCCGTACAGTATTCTCTGTAAGTCCGCACAGTCTTCTCCGTAGGACCTCGAAGACAGCATAGTCCTACGGAGATCACTGTAAGGTCCTACGGAAAAGACTGTGCGGTCCTACAGAAAATACTGTAAGAGCCTACGGAGAATATTGATAAGGGGCATACGGAGAATTACCACAAGCTGTTTACAGAATTTTCCGTAGCTTTTTGCCACAGTGATGGCTTATAAAGTTGTTGTTTTTTAAGAGACATGTACATAATCGTGCGTAGTTACTAGTACATACTAGTACATACTACGCCTGTTATTAAACTTTAAAAGCTAGAGAGAAAAGGTCAATAAATTGGCAATGATTGTCAATACGAGGCTGAGAGAGCAGGGCATGTGACGGAATACTTACCGTCACTCTGGCCATGCTGCGCGGTGTCCTCTCTAGCAATGCTCCAGTCGCGGCGACCCCTCGCTTTTTATATCTGACGTCTGACAGGCCGAGCCGTCCGGTCGAGGGGCAGTCGGGTGGGTCACGGAGTCGGCGTCGGGGGCACCCCGAGGGGGTAAACCAAGGGGTCCCCCACTTGCAAAATATATGTACGCTAGAAGGAGACAATCCCTCAATATTGCGTCAGAAAACGCCTGCAAGTCTCTGCAAACTGAAGTGTGTAACATAGTACACTCTTATTGAAGCATGCTTCCAAAGCACACTCTTATTTACATCATACTTGCCAGGCACACGCTAAAATAGAGTGTGCCTGGCATGTACACGCTAAATAAGAGTGTACCTTGGAAGTACACGCTCAAATACACTCGATTAGTCCTATCTAAAAGCATGGGCCAGTTTGGAGAGTAGGCATGAAGCGCGACACGACACAATCTTACAATCTTTGCATGCTTCAAACATTATTGTCCAGGAGCAATCACTAGGTAAAACCACATCACCGGAGAAAGCTAGATGAGATTATATTTTTTTCGGTCAAGCGATTATAAACTAAGTGTCGTTAAAATCTCAGACATCGCTTAAATTTTATGGTCATTTTTCACCTTTTCATTCATATTTTTTTTGAAATATTTTGTTCATTCATTTTTGTTTTAATCCAATAGAGGATTTTCTCTCTCGCAGCACGTTGAAGTGGAAATGAAAACCAAAGGGGTCTCCCACCTAAAGGACAAGATGTCAAATATTAAAATTCCCAAAATATTATCGGTTACAACCCCGGTGAAAATTGTTGTAAACAAAATCCTCCAACTGGGGTTCCCTTCAGAGCGCAATGCACGGATTTAAAGAGGTTTTGACCGAATCTATCGACGGGAAACCCAGACCGTCGTCGGTTCGGCGGGGAATGACCCAGATATCGTTGTTTCGCATCCAAGAGGCGCAACGGCATCGCCCGCTGAATTGCCAGAGACTATCTATTGTTTATAAAAAATCTCTGGGTTTTTTTCGCTATCGAAAGAACCGTCACGTGTTTCAAAGGAGCCAATCGTTTAGCGCTGGCCTGCTTCATAGCAGCCCCATCAAGTCTGCTAAAACTAAGGTAACGTCGTGAAACACTTGATGTGAAGACGTCGGCCTGTGACGTGACAGTCAGTAACCAAGACAGAATTTCTTTGTTGAAAATTTGACGAAAAGTGAACGGTATGTTGTGGAATCTGCACTGTAAGCGCCGACGAAACTAACCACGTCGATTTGGACTGAACGTTTACGTTTATGACCCCCCTCCAATGACAAAATATATACTGTATGTACTTGCATGCACTTGCAAGTACACAACTACAAATGCATACTCAGCTGAGTACACATCTACGTAAAAATGTGTTCTCAGTTAAGTATGCATCTGTAGACGTGTACTCAGCCAAGTATGCATCTGTAGATGTGTACTTCCAAGTAAGCATCTGTAGAAGCATACTGCGCACTTCAGTTTGTAGAGTACCCGCCGAATCAACTGGTAGGTCGATTCAAACTACTCTTTTTGACGGCGTTAGATGTCGAGGGAGAGGGGGCCTGAGAAAACCTTACAAACTATTTTGGGCCTTAAAAAAAAGGTATTATGCATAATAAGCTAAAGAAATCTTCGTAATTTACAAACTTTTCTTCGTAAACAAAATATTTGTTAATGTATCAAAATACTTGTAAGGTTTTGATGCTCAAACATCGTATAGGAGGCTTTGCGTGTGGAGGCCAGGTGCAGATGCATCCCTTTCCTGTTAAGGTTGCCGGGGTGCATGAGCATACGCGGCCATGAGTATGGCCCAAACATTTGGCCGGCGATGGTCCAGACTTCCCGCCCATACGCATTTTGGGACGTGCCACGCTCGACTTCGGGGCCCAGGCGGGCCATTGTCGCCTCTCCGGTTTTTGCGCCGGGGCGGATGAAGCAAAACTGCTGAGACAAATCTTTCGGCATGGTGATATAAAATCAGGGCCTGTCGCCGGATCGCCGTCAGTTGCACAGACTGCTACATTCCGAGGCAGAGAGAATATCACGAGCGCTCGGAAAGAGACTTGCACGGCGGAGCGGCACCTTGGCGGAGGCCTGCACGCCAGCATGGCGAGAATACTGGTAAGTCCTTCGTGAACCGCCAGCGAGAAGAAATCTTCTCTTACCACTCGCGAAGGAACGTTTCATTCAAATCCTTATTGTTTTGCAGTTACCTGTGGCCATAGTGGTGGCTCTGGGGCTATGCATTTCGGCCTCCCCGTATGAAGTATACGACACCGTTGCGCTGGAAAAGGCAGGGCGGTGCCGGCGCCGGTGTTGCACAGACGTCGCTACTTCCGAAACGCGAAACTGAGCATCAGCAAGGAAAATTAGTTCACCCGGAGGCGGCGGCGGGGGCGCGGCGGTGGCGAGAATACGGAGCTCGTGGAAGCCCAGGGGGAAGGTCGCAACGTCGTGAAGGAAAGAATCATCCAGGAAATATTTCTCTTGGATGCCGTGGCCGTGGTGGCTCTGGGCCTATGCATTTCGGCCTCCCCGTATGAAGTATACGACACCGTTGCGCTGGAAGGCGGCGGAGGTGGCGGTGGAGGCGGCGGCGGCGGTCGCAAGCGTCGTGAAGCTGAAAGCATCATCCAGGAAGATTATGTATCACTCCTTGGAGGCGGCGGCGGTGGCGGCGGCGGTGGAGGAGGAGGATGGCGGCGGAGGCGGTGGCGGCGGTCGCAAGCGTCGCGAAGCCAAGGCTACGCCGCAGTGGAACGGAGGCGGCGGCGGCCCTCAGGGTGGAGGCGGCGGTGGCCCTTGGGGCGGTGGTGGCGGTGGCCCCCAGGGTGGAGGCGGTGGTGGCCCTCAAGGTGGAGGCGGCGGTGGCCCTTGGGGAGGTGGTGGCGGTGGCCCCCAGGGTGGAGGCGGCGGAGGCCCTCAAGGTGGAGGTGGAGGAGGCCCCCAGGGCGGAGGCGGCGGTGGCCCTTGGGGAGGTGGCGGCGGTGGCCCCCAGGGTGGAGGCGGCGGTGGCCCCCGGAGCGGAGGCAGCGGTGGTCATAGGGGAGGTGGCGGCTATTACCGTTGAATCACGTAGCCGCCAGTGCGTGTACCATCCACGTGAGAGGAGAAACAGGTGACCAGATTTCATTCCGTTTCACCTTGTTGTGTGTCTTGTCATAAACAAATAAAATCATACATGTCATGAACGTACTCTTGTTTTGTTACCCTATAATTTTTGGCCCACCGTGTTAAATAAAAGAAATCACCCACAACACTGCGAGAAAAGATCACGGTAAATCCTGTACTGATTACTCCAGACTTCACCGTACTTTTTTTAACAGGCAAAACCGTGGTTTTTTTCAGGGCAATCCTCGGGTTTTTTTGCAGGACCCGTACTTTTTTTACAAGGAATCCCGTGCTTTTTCGGCAATCCCGTACTTTAAGTGCATCAAAAACTGCTATAATTTATTTCGGGTCGGTCGCCCCGTTTGCAAGATTCTGATGTACATAGTGCGAAGTCGGACCTGGCCACCCCGTCCCGGGACCGCTCGTTGAGAAGGTCGACGAGACCTATCGAAGGTGGAATAACAGTCGGTCGACCCCCCAAGATCCTGATGTGGACGTTTCCCTTGGGGGGGCGGCTTTGTTGGGATCAGATCGGGCCAGTGCGTGGCCCATCACTGAGAGAGAACGGAACTACTGATTTATCCCTTTTCCCCGGTGTTTTGTAAAAAAAAGTAAAAATACTGTAGATGTAGGGTATCTGGTTTTTGATTACGGTAAATTTTTGGCCCCAAAAAAATAAATTACCCACCAAATTAATTGCTGCAATGGCAGACTTTGCAAGTTGCACTCGTCGGGAGCCTTATAAATTAGATGTTTGTCAAGACACTCCTCTTGGCAAACGTTGAGTTTACCACACATTTCTCCAGCACAAGCACGATGTCAAGATTAAACAAATTGATGAAAAATGAAATATAATTGTCACTGATTACAAGTTTGAGACTATGGAAAGGGATTCATTTCTCCCAGAAGTATTAAAGGTTTCATGATTATGACCTTCATTTTTATCACCCAAAATGTTTCGAGTCGTTTGGTTTGACTGCATCTTGTCATAGACACAGAGCCCAGTTCAAACTGGCCAAATACCTCGTTTACGCGCAACCGCCATCACAGCACCCAGCGGCGCCCTATCTTTCTCGTAGCAAACATACTAGACTGGCCCACAGAAAAAAGTCTACGAAGCAATCGCTTCATAAAACGAAGAAAACGATGGCACTGTCAAATCTACTTTAAGATATGTTTCGCATTATGTAGCAAAACCCTTCGTAATACGAAATATCTCTTCACAGCGCGAATCAATTTTACAATGCCTTTATTTTCTTCGTAGCGACGAAGCAGATGCTTCGTAGACTTTTGGGCGCGCCTTGGGTGCGCCGCGTGAAACACCGACAAGCCGGCACGGCTGGCGGATGGGTTGCCTAGACATCGGGCGCTCGACCGGCGGGACCGGAGTGGATTAGAGGTTTATCATGAAAGCCCGAGGGGAAATCACTCGCGTAATAGTCGGGTCGCCGATTCCTTGTATTACGCGTATGTAATAGTATTAGCGTAATAGCCAAAATTTTCTGAATTTTCCGTTATAGCGGTCTGATTTTAGCTTAAATCTCGATATTTGCAAACGTAATAAGACTTCTGTAATAGCGTAATAATGCGGAATAGAACGTAATAGGGAGTAGTCGGGTCACAATTTTTAAGAGTGATTTCCCCCTCGTGAAAGCCCATACACCAGGATTGAACAGAAATGCTGATCTATGGTCATATTCTCGTGCCTTCGTCAATTTTACTTGGGATCGCCAAATTTAAGCCTGCTTCTGCGGACATTTTGAATCCAGGGCAAACCCAACTATGTATTGTTTTCCTCTGAGGAATAACTAAACTTAACCAAACCTCAGCCCATTAACTCCTTTATCCAAAATTCATTGTGAAAGCTATTGTCAACACGCTTTAGACTATATATTTACCCCCTCCCCGGACGGACACTGTTTCGTAGAAGGGGTACGATTAACCAGCTGCGGTACACTGCAAATCCAAGTGTAGGACAGGTCGACACTTTAAAGCGTAGACCAGTTTGTCCTACGCTTGCAAGTGTCGACCACTTGTGTCCGACGCTTTGAAGTGTCGACCACTCAGTGTCCGACGCCTGCAAGTGTCGACCACAGCATGTCCGACGGCTGAAGTGTGGGGCCACAATAGGAAACTCAGTGTAATTTGCCGTAGGACAAACAGTGTCCTACACATGCAAGCGTCGGACAGAGTGTGGTCGACACTTCAAAGCGTCGGACACAGCTGGTCGACACTTGCAAGCGTAGGACAAACTGGTCTACGCCTTAAAGTGTCGACCTGTCCTACACTTGGATTTGCAGTGTAGTACGCTCTAATGCTTCTCCTTTGTAGATGATTGCATTCCGCGGCAAGGACAAGCGAAAGAAAGACGCTTAAAACCGCACTCTTAAAGCCTTACGAAATATTTTGAGCATACGTATAACAAACTAAAATACTTTGTTATACGAAGAAATAGTTCGTAAATTACGAAGTATTTTCTTTGTAAGCTTACGTATGCTCAAAATACTTTGTTATACAAACTACTTTTCTTTGTAAGGCCCAAAATAGTTTGTAAGGTTTTCTCAGTGCGTAGCAGCTTTATGATAGTCTGACCAATACTAGAGCAATTTCCTTTGAAAGCTTATTTATACTCAAAATACTTTGTTAACAATTTTCTTTGTAAGGCCGAAACTAGTTTGTAAGGTTTTTCAGAGTGTACGAACTATTGGTTTGAGTGAGGGGGCAACCACTCAATTTTTTTCGTAGACAGGATTGTTCACAAGAAGTGATTTTGCAGATTTCACAGGATTTCGCGCCAAAATAATTGAAAATCTTTTGAGATTTTGAGGAGATCTCGCGAGATTTCACCAGATTCTTACAAGATCTCCTGAGATTTCACTAGATTTCGAAGGGATTTCGCGCAAGATTTCGCGCAAGATTTTGGCTTCTCAAGTGTACTCAGGATTTCGTGAGTACACTGAAAATCCAAGTGTGGGACAGGCATGCACTAGATAACGTGGGACAAAATGTCCCACGCTTGCAAGCGTGGGACACGGTTTGTCCCACGCTTGTAAGTGTGGGACACGGATTTGTCCCACGCTTACAAACGTGGGACACCGTTTGTCCCACGCTTGTAAGTGTGGGACACGGATTTGTCCCACGCTTGTAAGTGTGGGACACGGTTTGTCCCACGCTTGTAAGCGTGTAACACGGTTTGTCCCACGTTATCTAGTGCATGCCTGTCCCACACTTGGATTATCAGTGTAGTTGCTCGGTTTTCAGTCTGACTCCATGGAAAAAACTGTCATGGGAATTAAGTGTGCACATCTCTCGACATCCCCAGTGTTCATCCCAATCGGGTTCAACGCATTGCAAGATCTGCAGACGAAATCAACAACCAAAACTGGACTGTATTCCAAGTCAAGTTTAAATTAGCATACCGCCTCCGATGCCGGTTTTCCCGCACTCCACGCAAACAACAGCTGGAGCCGAATGTGGAGCGGGTGGACCGACATGACGCGAAGGGAGGGCAACACGCAAAGGCGAGAGAAGGGGAAGGAAGGTCGCTGACTTTCCCAGCTTCAACAAGTGTGGGGTCATCACAATTCATTCGGAGCCCCACCAAAAACACACTGCCAATCCAACTATGAGACAGTCTCACACTATTTAATGCGAACCACGATGCCTCACGCTTTCAAGTGTGAGACATCATTTGTCTCACACTTACAAACTTACAAACTTGTAAGTGTGAGGCAAATGATGTCTCACACTTGCAAGTGTGGGACAAACGTGGCTCACACTTGTAAGCGTGACACATCGTGGTTCGCACTTAATAGTGGGAGACTGTCTCACACTTAGATTGGCTGTGTTACCAAGAATCTTCCTGAAGAACCAAGACCTCGCGTGAAATATCAAAGGTGCCTTCAGCAATTCTTTTTTGCCAGAGGCACTGCAAATGCAACGGCAATACCAAAGTACATTTTTTGGCGATACAATTGAGTATCGCCAATAAACGGCCTTACGGAAAAGTAATGCCTTCAGAACGGCGATACAAAAAAGTATTGCCAAAATTTGGCAATACTTTTGGATATTGCCAAAACCACGGCATTATACCAAGGTCTTGTCCCCTTGATTTGTTCGACGTTTATTGCCAAATCGTGGCAATACTCTAAAAGTATCGCCAAATTTTGGCAATACTTTTGCGTATCGCCGTTTTGAAGGCAATACTTTCCCGTAAGGCCGTTTATTGACGATACTCAATTGTATCGCCAAAAAAGGTACTAAAAGTATTGCCTGTGGATTTACATGAATTCCAGGGATTCGTGTTTACATTGAAGGCTTTCGTCTTCACGGAGTTAGAGGGAAGTAAAAATACACACGCCCAGTGTAGAAAAATGTTCATGAACTGCGTTAGAACTTGAAGTTCCGCATCGAATTGTACATAGTAGTTGTGTGTAAATTTCCAATTTTACACACGTGCAGAATAACGAACCGTGACAAGTCACGAAGCGACCCGTTTTTCAGTACACTGCAAACCTAACTGTCTACTAAGTACACACTTACAAATGCGTGCTTGCAAGTACACACTTACGAACGCATGCTTGGCCAAGTACACACTTACAAATGCATGCTTGCAAGTACACACTTACAAACGCATGCTTGACACCGTATAACTCCATGCGCCAAGCATGCGTTTGTAAGTGTGTACTTGCAAGCATGCATTTGTAAGTGTGTACTTGGCCAAGCATGCGTTTGTAAGTGTGTACTTGCAAGAACGCATTTGTAGGTGTGTACTTAGAAGACAGTAAGTTTTGTTGTGTAATCGTCTCTTAAGGGCCTCAAATTTGTCACGTTCTTGGTGGCTTCCAACTTAGGTGATTCACGTCAAAACTGTAACACGAGTTGACTTTTTTCGCCTCGTTGAGAGGAATACAGAGCACGCACTAGGAAGCCTGCACCAAAAATCCAAAGGTCAGACTTCTCGCCACTCCAGAGGCGACATATTAAGTCTCGCCAAAATTTGGTCACCGCTTAAGTGCGACTTGAACCCACAGCCTCCCGCCTCGCACTCCGACAAGAGAGCAGCTGCGTTAGAGCTCTTCCAGATGTGTCGGTCAAGCCAGTCCGCCCACGTACGGGGAATTTTCGGAAAAACTGGTTGTGATGAACCCAAAGCGAAGGGATCACACATTTGGACTTGACGGAAAAAACTTTTCTTGCGTCATTGTTGAAAACTATGAGGACAAAAGCAGAACACGGAGGTGACTTGTGACGTCAGCAGAAAGGCCGGGGCGGCGACCCCGCGGCCGCACAGCTGGGCCTTTTGGTGCGGCGCTGCGGGCAGCAAAACAAGCAGGGACACATCCTTTCGGCTTGGTGATATAAAATCAGTGCCCGCCGCCGGACCGTCGTCAGTCCTGCAGACTCTCTCCCGAGGCAGACTGAACACGGGCCGAGCGCGAGCAGGTCGACAGAGACGCGAGCTTGCACCGAGCGGCACCTCGGCGGAGGCCGGCACGCCAGCATGGCGAGGACACTGGTAAGTCCTTCGTGAACCGCCCGCGCACTGTGATTCACTCTCAGCACGTTACTGACCTTTCTCATGAAGTACGTATTCGTTAAAGCAAGGATAATACTTAGTATGTTCTAAGTAAGAAAGTAATTTCTTTTGTCTCATGAGTTACAATAACAAATTGTAAGTACACTGTTTAATAATTGCTAAGTAGATCTTTTAGAAATGAAAAGTACGTATTGTAGTTGCACAAATTACTTGCACACGCACGGATAAATTGAGCAGAAAGTCAGTAACGCGCTGTGAGTGAATTCGAAGTGTGGCACAAACCTAGACAGCTACACGTGACAGACAATGCGGTCAGCACCCTCCAAAACCTGTGGTTAGAGTCTCACAAGACAATCGAAGTAAATATATCCGCTTTTATCGTGGGTTCGTTTTCAGAAGATCGCATTCTTGTGCGTAAGTCTGATCAGGTTGGACGGCCAGACAAAAAACAAGGATCGTAAAGTAGTGGACCTTAAATTAAAGAGAAAAGACCAAATAAAACAGGGTTGCTTGTGATGGTCTATTTACTCTCTTATACTTCCTCAAGCCTCCTAGTTGAACCCCTAACTTGAAACTTGGAACTTCCCAAATGATCAAAATTAGAGAAAAATTCCCGGGCACTTAAGATAGGAATCTTTGCCAGGAAACGATGATCCCTCCATTGTGTCGTCAGTTCCGTAGACCCCCAGAAAAGTGTGGAGGTAACCACTCGATACATAAAGCAACAGCCAAATTACTGGCGTTTTGCGCCAATTAAATGAGGTAACCACACCTCAGGTCTCACCGCAGTCAAATGTAGTAAATACCACATGTAGGATTTCAGTGCAAGGAGCAATCTTATCTTAGCCCCCCCCCCCAAAAAAAAGTGTTACATTAAAACCCTTTGCGTTTTACAGTTGCTTTTGGCCATCGTAGTGGCCCTGGGGCTATGCACCTCGGCCGCCCCGTTTGAAGTGCCAGACACCTCCGACCTGGAAGGCGTGGGAGGCGACGGCAGAGGCGCCAAAATGCGTCGATCCGTCGAGGACATCGCTCCCCACGACCCAGCAGCCATGCTGGAAGGCGGTGGAGGCGGCGGCGGCGGAGGCGGCGGTGGTGGTGGAGGCGGCGGGGGCGGCGGCCGCAAGCGTCGTGATGCTGAGAACATCATCCTGGAAGAGAACGCATCACTCCTTGGAGGCGGCGGCGGCGGTGGCGGCGGTGGAGGCGGCGGAGGCGGCGGTCGCAAGCGTCGTGATGCTGAGAACATCATCCTGGAAGAGAACGTATCACTCCTTGGAGGCGGTGGTGGCGGCGGAGGCGGCGGAGGTGGAGGCGGCGGCGGCGGAGGCGGCGGTCGCAAGCGTCGTGATGCTGAGAACATCATCCTGGAAGAGAACGTATCACTCCTTGGAGGCGGCGGCGGCGGTGGCGGCGGAGGCGGCGGTGGTGGAGGCGGCGGCGGTGGCGGTCGCAAACGCCGCGGGGCTGAGAACATCATCGTGGAAGACAATGTATCACTCCTTGGAGGCGGCGGAGGCGGCGGCGGTGGTGGCGGCGGCGGAGGAGGCGGAGGCGGCGGTGGTGGAGGCGGTGGCGGCGGCGGCGGTGGTCGCTAGCGTCGTCCATAGCCCAAGCCTTCGCAGCAGTGCAACAACGGAGGCGACCGTTGAATTACAACCCGTCAGAGCGTCAACCACCTACGCGGGAGGAGAAACAAGCGATGAGTTATCATTTCGTGTGACTATATTGTGTCTCTTGTCAACAACAAATAAAATTATGCTTCACACTTATGTGGTCTTGTTTGTTAACCTTTGACTCTCCTGGTACAGAAAAAAATAAATCACCAATAAAATAATCTTTGCTTGAACGGCACAGAACACAGATTCAAGGTTCCATGGGTCCTATGAACAAAGTTAGATGAGCTGAGAAAAGATCCGATGTCTAGAGCTCCAGTATAGCACAAAGTTTTTGTGGATCCGGCATTTGTATGTGACTTGCTTGATCAACCAAGAACATAGAATATTTTGTTCCCGAACATGTCTTTGAATGATTTGAAAATACACAGCGGGTCCGAAATTGCGCGGAGATCAAAGATCGGCCCACCAAAACATTAGTGAAATCCAAAGGGGTCACTGAGGTCGAGCTTTTCTGAAATAAACCTGCTCGCACATCAAACATGCTGGATCGGCGCCGCGTGAGAGGCCAGCAAGTCAGCATGGGTGGTGAATGGGTGGCCTACCTTTCAGGCGCTCCGTGCCGGAGAAGTCTATCACCGCAGGCCCTGAAACGAACTTATACGCCTTTCTTGACGCATTATCACGCTTGGCCTCACTCCATACCTATAGTGTATCGGTGTGTGATGCTGAGTTGAGTCAATATAACCAAGAATCGGAAAGGCTGATTCTGATCCTCACACGCTGACCCTTTCATTCTCAGTGGCAGCTAGGTTGGGCTACGTTGGGCGTTAGGAGGCTTGTCGGGTCAACGCATGCAACGCATTTTCACGTTACCTTGGCTCCTTGTGGTCCATGTTTTCACTGTTTTGTAGTTCCAAACCAGCGGTTAAAGTTTTAAAAACGGAACAAATGATGAAACGCTCTAACGCACAAAAAACCAAACATCGGCAAACAAAATTAATCGGCATTGCCACGAAGACCATCTTTAACATCGTACCGCACGCAGCTCATTTGTTATGTTGGCACTTTATGATTCCAGCTAGCCTGAGTTTGCCAATCTTAATTAAGATTGGAAAAGGAAATCATTAACGTAGGATGGGACATGAGGCTTCGTTATACGCAGAGGTAATCATTACCTTCGACAACAAACACCAAAACGTTAAGAAAAGTAAAAATAATTTTCAAAATTGTCAAAAGATTACAGGCAGTTTTTGTTTCTGCAGAACAATGTCTTCTCACGTTAAGGGGGTAGTACACTTCGCGACTTTCAAAAAATCGATTTTTTTTTTGCATTTTCGGGTCCCTAGTACCTTACTTTATAAGTTCCGACCGGAGCTGGGTCGGGGCGCGGCCGAAATCCCATTTTTAAGCGCGCCCGGGAAGTGGCGGAGTGGGGGAACTTTCCCCCACTTAAAACTTTAAACGCGATTATCTCGAAACACTATTTTTCAAACTGGTTTGCGCGATTCCAGGCGCAATTTTCAACCGATTTTGATGAAATTTTGCAGGGACACGGCAAAAACACGTCATTTTGGCGTGAACTACGGAAAATACGATTAAACAAAAACTACTACCTTTTTCGGGGCCAAACGTGGGCGAAAAAAGGGGCTTTTTTCGTACTTTTTTTTTACAGTGTAGTTTAAGGCACTAAATTTTTTCCAAACTTTTTCTCCGTAGTTCACGCTAGAATTACATGTGTACTGATAGTCCATACCGAGTTTGGACCCCCTAGGTCGCACCGTTCGATCCCAATCACGCAAACCAACGGACTATGTATTTGTTGCAGTCATTTGGGAAAATTGGCCAAAGTCGCTGCAGCTACCTCGGAGGACCTTCAAAATTGACAATTGTGATCTTCAATAGTACTATAATAGAGACCTATCATCAATTTTGACGTGTCTCACTTCCCTTGTCCGCAAATAGACGTCCCATAAATGCGATTTTTTGACCTTGCGAAGTGTACTACCCCCTTAATGGCACCCGCGAACAAGCGGCTGAACTCATGTCTGCACAACGGTTACTGATGACAAGAGTTCAGAAAGCAGTGGCCTTTCCGTTGGAGGCAAGGTGCCTGCGCACTAAGAATAGTCGCAGCCCAGCCCAGCCGAATCAATGGGGACTCAACGCCTGCAAACTGCGGGTAGGCAAGCCCGCAACACGTCCAATCTCAACGGGGTGCCTACCCTGGGTTCGCAGGCGCTCGGTCGCAGAGGTGCACTGGAGCAGGGCTGGGAAATACCTAGGTAAAAAGTACCTAGGTACTGTACCTAGGTACTTTTTTGGTACCTATAACTGTAACTAGGTTCTCAAGTCATAATTGTAACTGTACCTGTACCTAGGTACATTTTGGGCAGTAACTTTACCTCGAACTGCAGGTACTTTTACAGGTACTTTTGGGCGCGAATGTAGGGAAAGACGGGTAATGAGCTGCGCTCAAAACAGTGCGGGGATAAAGAAAGACACTCAGAGGACTGCCTGTTTTCGGGGAAGAAACAGATATTCGGCCACCTCCCCTTTTTATGTGCCTCCTCCGGGCTCCATGTGGCTGGTCTGCTCACCGCACGCACTGCCAAGGTGAACGCAGAGGACTTGCACTATGAAACAATGGACACATCTCAGCAGGGATCATAGGGTTTGTCCCTAAAATGCGTTACCGGAACCATCCCATTATAGGAGCGAGGTCAAGGATGGTCCCTGGAGCCGCCAGCGATGCGGCGTGACGAATCGGGCTTGTAAACAGCACACACGTTGGCATGAAAAGGGTCATTGACGCAAGAAAGTTTAAAGGGGCGAAAAAGTCGCGCGAGGTTTGTTTTGGTTGCGTTACTGGGCGGATGTGTTGAAATATCAAAATAACTGAAAGTACCTAAAAAGTACCTAGGTATTTTGCCAAAGTACCTGTAACTGTACCTAGGTACTGAGCTCGATCAAGTACCTGTAACTGTACCTAGGTACTTTTTTGATCCAGTATCTGTATCTGTACCTAGGTAAAAATATAAAGTATCTGTCCCAGCCCTGCACTGGAGGCCGTCGACAGTTGCGCTCAGAGACTCCCTACACACTTAATGTTTTTGCACAAATATTGTAGGCGACGTAACACACTGAGAAAACCTTACTATTTCAGGGCTTACGATGAAAAGAAGTTTGTTAGAACAAAGTATTTTGAGCATTCATAAGCTTACAAAGACAATACTTCGTAATTTACGAACTATTTTTTTCGTAGATCAAAGTAAATTAGTTTGTGTTATGTATGCTCAAAATAGTTTGTAAGGTTTTCAGTATGCAGTGTTTTTTGAACAGATGAAATTTTGATACAAAATTGTACGCGGCTTTGCCCACAAGTACAGAAATATGTGCAGTTTCCGTATGAAATCGTGCAAAAAGTTCATCTGCATAAAAAATTGTAATGGCCCCTTATAGACCTGTGAGTTACATTTGGTGTGTAGTCGTAGGCAAGCCCGGCACACGCCCGAGCTCAACGGGCCCTCAGCGCCTGCGAACTGCAGGTAGGCAAGCCCGCAACACGTCCGAGCTCAACAGGCCGGCCTGCCCGGGGTTCGCGGGCGCTCCTTTACAGAGTGCACGGTGAGTTTCCAAGAGTTCGATAGTTCGGCATGGAATCGCCCACAAGGAGTCGCGCTAACCGTGCTCACAGTTACACTACAGTAGAAACCGTCTGGACGCAGTTAAAATTTTGAGTTTTTGTCTCAATAGACTAGCCGTGTCTATATATTTAGACCACCTATTTCTAAATTTCACACCCCCCCCCCAATCCTTTCAGACCACCCGTTTCCAAAACTTCAGACCGCCGACATGGTCTGAAATTTCAGAACCAATTACTGTCAATTAACTTCAGCCAAATTTGGTGTAAAAAATTTCAGATTTTTTTTAAACAGTGTACTGATATGATCATTTCCTGAGTAAATTACAAAGAAATTTTTAAGTATTTAAGAACGAAATACTAAGAATTATGGCTGCTTACAGAAATATTTCTGAAGGCTGAGTGAGAGTGTGGACCCACGTTCAAGCACTTCAAGGTATTCCAAGACAAGGAACCCATCTCCACTGGACCCATCGGAGCCTCACCAATCCCGCGAAGAGTGAGTACGACGTTGTGTCAAAAGGACCAAATCGACACTTGTTGCCTTTTGGAGATCGATCAAACGACCAGTTCTCCATCAAACGGCTGGGTTCGCAATTCAGTGCAGAATTTATCTCAGAACACAAGATTTAAACGGCTGAACTTTGTGCAACGGCAAAGGCGATAACATCCTAAGCTTGGCCAAAAGCAATTGACGGGGCAACGCGAAGGATTTTCAGCAAAAGTGTTGTTTTTAACAGGTCGTAGGTCAGAAAATCTGGGCTTCCAACTAAGAGGTGCATAATATCTTAGTCGGAACGCTAGCTTTGCGTGCGACGTAAACTCATCTGTCGTAGGCCAAGGTAGGTGTAAACGACAGGATTGATGGAACTGGCGCAGTGTTGCGAAACCTGTTTCGACACGACGCGATCTGGACTCTCCTTGTTTGTGATATGGGATGAAATTCACAAATCTCAACTTCATTCAGAAGTTCTGTTTTCCAGAGCATTGATAACCTTCACACTAGGCGCATGGATGACAGCGACAGTCCACGTGAGTGTTGCGTTTCGCGCATGAAAGACAAATCAGACCACCAGTGCTGCTTACTATGTGTTTATTCTAGTATCAATGTATAAAAGTAAAAACTTAAACTATTTCTTAAAAAATAACAATATGCTAAAAGAAACAAAAAAGTGATTGCCCTACATTATGCTAAAAGAAACAATAACGTGATTGCCCTACAATATGCCAAAAGAAACAAAAAATGTGATTGCCCTACAATATGCTAAAAGAAACAATAATGTGATTGCCCTACAATATGCTAAAAGAAACAATAATGTGATAGCCCTACAACATGCTAAAAGAAACAATAATGTGATTGCCCTACAATATGCTAAAAGAAACAATAATGTGATTGCCCTCTGCTAAAAGAAACAATAATGTGATTGCCTTCCGGGGTGAGTCTTGATGATTGAGGTACACTTCTGGTTACAGGTGGTCGGGTTGTTCTGCTTCGGTCCTGCTAGGCTTGTTCTTGCGCTGAGGAGGCATTCCTGTAAGATGGAATTTGCCTTCGTTAAAATACAAATAGAAAACGTGAGCAGCTGTGCCCAGCATAAACTCTTGTTCCGATGAGGTCCAAAGTAAATCCTGTTCAAGTTAATTGTATGCACTTTGATTTCACTATTATTCAATGAATGGGACGCCATATTCGTTAGATTGTGAATTTTGTCACGTTCTTTGGAATACAATGTCACATTCGTTTAAACGTGACACGGCTGTCTAATTTGGGTGTCACTTTGACAGAGTCTTGATCAATACCACACTGCAAATCCAAGTGTGGGGCAGGCATCCACTAGATAACGTGGGACAAACTGTCTCACTCATGTAAGCGTGGGACAAAGTATCCCACGCTTCACTGTGGCAAAAAAATACGGAAAATTCCGTTAATTTTTTTTTACCAAGATGCCCATGTATCAATGTCCTCCGTAGGCTCGCTCTTTCAGTATCCTCCTTTGCACTTCAAACAGAATCATTCGGATTCCTTCGTGGGCTGCGAAGCCACTGTTTTCTTTGTATCACGACGAGCAGTTCTCTGTAGGGCTCTACGTGTTTAGGATTGTTAGGTACACTCTTAGACTCGTAATGTTTTTTTTAGGGGTTCCGACGAAGGAGGACCCCTATTGTTTTTGACGGCTCAGATTCTTTTCCTTCCGCCGACGCAAATCGAAAAATGGTTCCCGCCAAATTACTCGTTATAATAATAAAATAAAAATACCTGAAAATTTCGAAAATTTATCGTGAGAATTTAACGTAAACGACAGAAACATAAATTTGCAACAATCAAGCACCCTTATCCGTTCACATTTTCCAGAAACGTTTTCAAAGAGAAAATGTGCCACTTCTCAAAACTAAACCTCCTGCCTCATCAAAGTGACAAGAAATCGTCTGTGTTCTGAGAAAATGGTTAAAACATGAAAAAAAAGTCTCGATGGCAACGACACGGTGCCATCGTACCAACTGTCAAAATTTAAAGTCACTGATAAAAAGAAATCAAAACGCCGCGAAATTCGAAAATGCCAATGCTAACGCATTGCACGGTGTCCCTACATTGGAACATCTTTGAAGTCTGTCAGTAAAACGTTCGTAGCAGAAAAGACGCAAGAAATTAATTTTCGGGGGTTGGCAATCATTTTCTCGGCGTCTGCGCCCTTTCGAAAATCGCGAAGCTGAAAAAACGAGTAGTCGCGCATTCAAACTGCCCCTCCATTGTTGCTGAGGTTGGATTGTTTGGCCTGATTTTAAAGGTTGCGGTTCTCTTGTGATGTTTTCCTGAATTCTGTAACCAGCACGACGGTTGGTTTGACAAACTTTATAAACTCGGGAGGGGTGGTTTCGGAACACGGATAACTTTCGTTTAACGAACGTGAGCACTGTAAATCGGGAGATCGTGAGATGGACTGAGATGGTCATTGTGTTAACTGAATCAGGTTTTGGGATGTAAAAATACCGGTAGGATTCAATGTTACGTAAATAACGGTAAAATTAACGTAATTAACGTTTAGACGACAGACTTCAAATTGATTTCCACAACCGGAACACCGTGCAATGCGTTAGCATTGGAATTTTTTAAAATAACGTATTGACGTTTGTGTGCGTTAAAAAGCGTATTAGCATTTTTCATTGTTCTACAAACAATATTATGAATTTCGTCTTAACAAATTCGTAACAATACTCTTTGAACACGCACAAACGTCAATTAATATTAGCAAAATGTCGATTGAAGGATGGGAGTGTAGCCTGCTCAAAATAAAATGAATCGAAAGGAAGAATTCGACGCGTCCTAATAGAATAATCCTACCTGTCAGAGCAGATCCAAGACAATCCTAACCGTCAGTGCAGATTTAGAACTATCAAAACTGCAGAGCAGAGGCACCTAAAAGTGTTCATGAAGTTCTTCACTGCAAATCAGAGAATCTCGATATATCTGAAATACAATGTCCACGTATTTGTATAAGGATAAAACTTTGTAACAAGCCCTTCGGCGAGTAGTTTTATGAAGTATGTTGGCGTCACGTACTTTGAGAAAACACCGCTTTTCACGTGATGTGCAGTTAGGATAGTTCTGAATGGACATGAGAAGTTAGGATTGTCTTGGATACTGCTCTGACAGTTAGGATTGTCTTGGATGTACCCTAGCAGTTAGGATTATTTTATTACACACTAAATGTCATGGGACTTTTTTTGTCCCACGATTTATGCAATTTTAAGCACATCCGACGCTGATAAAATTTTGTTCCCGCCTGGCGACACATTTTGTCCGACACCTGCTGCAAATTGTACTTTCACTAGACAATTTGTCTCGCCTGGCGGACACGAAATTGCATCACCACCGGATGTGTTTAAAATTGAATCATTCATGGGACAAAAAAAAGTCCCATGACATTTAGTGTGTACACAGTAAAAACTCTACGAAGAATCGCTTCGTAATACGAAGAAAATGGAGGCATAGTAAAATCTACGAAGAAATGCTTCGTATTATGAAGCAAAATCCTTCGTAATACGAAGCAATTCTACAATGCCTTCATTTTCTTCGTAGTTATGAAGCAAATTCTTCGTAGGCTTTTAAGGGGGGACCCTGGTGAAAAATCGCCAAAATTCCAATAAATTGTATTTTCAAAGTTTATAGATAAAAATGTGCATAGAAGGTTTCAGATTCAACAGGTTGAACACCTTTAAGCTAAGTGGGTAGTTTCTTTATCATTTGGAAGGAAATAACATCGAGATCAGTTGTCGTTGGCTTCTACGCTCAACTTCACAGCTTTGCTCAGTCGACAAAAAAATTGGTCGTAGAAAGACTTCCTGCGTTCCTGGTTGACACCTACATGAGTCGTCTTGCATGGACTCTATTCATTGATGACTTGTCGACAAATTTTAGTGACGGAATCTTGATATCAGCCCTACTTTTTTTAAAACACACCTAAAAGTTTGAAAAAAGGGAAAAGAATCACTTTTTTTTAAATGTTAAAATTTGAAAACTCATATCTCAGGACAGAAGTTGAATTTGAAAATTCCGTCACTAAAATCTCTTCTATACATCTTTAGGATAACCCAAAAAAATTTTCAGGACTTTCCGTCCCAATGAAAGACGCAGGAAGATTTTTCCCCAACGCTCCAAAAAACTCTAAAAAGCCACTTTTCTCAGAGACCGTTCAACATTTTGGATTGAATTTTGTTTTGGGAACTCACCATAATGAACCTAATAATCAAGCAAAGTTTCAACTTCCTGGGATTATTTTGAAGCCTACTTGAAAGTTTCACCAGGGTCCCCCCTTAAGAGTGTAGGACGCGTCGAAGTCGACGACTGTCTCACCTGTGTTAACGGAAGCTGCTCCAGTTCTGCTGGTCGGCGAAGGCTGGCGTGCGTCCCCCCTCGCCCTCACTGCGCCGCGCCGGGCCGCTGCTCCCGGCCGCGCTTCTTCTTCGCGTCCCTCTGCCTCGAGGTGAGCGAGCCGCGGCTGCGGGTCACCTCCAGCGGCCGCACCACGATGGAGTCCCTGCGCACGCGGCCGGGCGCCTCGCCGTGCAGCCTCTGGGCCTCCCAGCGGGGCAGCGGGGCCGCGTCGGGGCCGTCCAGGGCCGCGCTGGGGAAGGACGAGAAGCGTCAAGGGCAAGAGCCTTGTCACTCTTAAAAGCCTACAAAGCATTTGCTTCATAGCCACGAAGAAAATGAAGGCATTGTAGAATTGCTTCCTATTACGAAGGATTTTGCTTCAGAATACGAAGCAATTCTTCGTAGATATTACAACGCAAAATGCATGGGAAGGTTTCCTCTGCACGCTTTTGGGCCCAGGATCAGTAGTGTGCCCTAGAGCTTAATGTTCCGTATTAATTTTACTTGTGGAGGAATTTTAAAACTGCGTTGTTTAAGGAAAAAGTGCTGCTTCCGATTGCAAAAACAAACACAATGGATTCCTTCGTAGATTATTAAAAATAAATGCCTTTGCCACGTGACGAAGCGATGCTTAGGAGACTTTTAACCGTGCGTGTTCCTTCCTCTGGAGTATGTCAGACGATTCACACACCATATTCCTGACGGGTGCAAAGGATTTGTACGTTGCGGAAGTTTTGTGCAGACTTAACACGGATATCCGTATATACACTTTAGCTTTCAATACATATGATTTTGTCCGTATTTCAAAGGTATTAGTGTCCGTAAGATACAGAGAAATTTTTCGTAAGTTACGGACAGCAAAACCTGTCTGTTGCGGTCAAAATAATTTGTATTCCAAGTTAGGGTCAGGGCGGGGAAGAACTGGACAGGGGAAGAACTGGACACTCCATATTTAACTTCAAATACCGGAGGCACAGGAATAACAACTATCAAAAGTTGTTCCGTGGCATCAGCGGTTCATTACATGACAGTTGTCAGGCCAGTACATACGGCATTTGAAGTAAAATGTGGTGTGTCCAGTTCTTCCCCTGTCCAGTTTTTCCCCGCCCTGACCCTAAATATCATCCGCAATTATGGCTGCACGAAACTATCCGCAACCCACAAACCCGGTATTCACTTAAAATTGAATGTTAAGACACATGACAAAAGTTCTCGCCACAAATTGGCGTGACAGGAATTTCACGCCGAAAAACGGCATGCATGCCGTGTGCGTCACGCCATCATCTGGCGTGAATGTACCATGTGGATTCGTGCGTAGAATGCGTTTCAGGAAGAAAGTTGCGCCAAACACCGGCATGAGAGGATATTTACGCAAAAACAAATGGCTTGAATTTCTGTCAGTTTTTTTTTGGGAGGGGGGGGGCATGACACTTAATTCACGCCCCTGCAGAGGCACGAAGTCACGCCGATATATTTTCAGTGCTCGTAAGAGATTAGTTTCGTGTGCGGGCCACCCATGGATGCAACTGCAACGCACACGCCAAAGTAACAAAATGGGGCCACTTGTCACACTTACGATTCGAACTTAATCAGATATGTCTCGTCTTCGAAGTCTTCCGATTCAGCATCAAGGGAGTCTTGAGGGGCCACTGCATCCTAAAAACAGTCAGGATCGAAAAGTAGCGTTAGTTACATCTCCTGGATAAAAACGCATGTCAATGAAAGTGCTAAATTTTGTCCAACGCCTACTGCAAATTTTACTTTCATAACAAAATTTGTCCCAGAAGCAAAGCTGTACCAGAAACAACATTGTACCACCTTCGGATAAGCTTAAAATTGCATCATTTATGGGTCAAAACAGTCCATGACATTCAGTGCACTGTGAATACAAAAGTGATACTTACCTTTTCTGGCAATACAATTAAGTATCGCCAAGAAACGGCCTCACCGAAAAATCCTGCCTTCAAAACGACGATACACGGGAGTATTGCCACGATTTGGCAATAAACCTTGAATAAATCGAGGGCACTAGTTCTTTGTTAGAGATATATTGTTAAAAAGATATTCGCAATACTTTAAAGTATCGCCAAAGTTTGGCGATAACCCCGTGTATGTATCGCCATTTTGAAGGCAAGATTTTTCGGTACGGCCGACTGTTGCCGATTCTTAATTGTATCGCCAAGAAAGAATCTAAAGTATCGCCTTTGGATTTGCAGTGAGTGTAAGTATATACCCTTACAAATGCATGCTTGGCAAGTACACATTTACAAATTTTGGTGTTATAAGGCGCCAATCATGCTAGTGCTGTCAGTGTATACTTGCCAAGTAAGCATTTGTAAGTGTAGGCCAAGTATGTGTTTATGATATGAAATCATAAACAGCCAGACATCTTGCGGGCATGCATTCAATAGTAAGTTTGTACTTAGACAGGTATGTAGTGTGGACAATTTATCATCAAGGGTTTACTGTTGTGAGTGCATCGTTACTGCAAGACTTGCGAGGTCGACTTACCTGCATGGGGGTAGTGTATTCCACCCCGACATTCGTCACTGCTGGTTCTGTGGTAGAGGGGAGGTCGTCGCGGGACGTTTCGACGCTGTCCGTCCGTAACAGAACGGAAGACGATGCAACGATCTGCACCATCACTGCGAACATCATCGCCAGACACACCTGAAAGCGGTAAGAGATTCGGTCAGATTTGCTTTGTCACTGAAGTGCTGTGCACAGCTTGCGGTTGGGAAATGTTGCACACTAAATGACCCAGGAAGCGGAAGAAGGGAATAATTTGACTTATCTCCAAATTGAGTTTTTATTATGTCGTTGTGCGTTAGAATGGTTTGCATCATTGCACCAAATTATTTGACCCAATTCCTAGCAGTTCAAGAGAAAATCCACTTCGAAAAAAGATGTAACTCAACTTGACCCCTTTTACGCTCTCAATTTAGCGGAAAATGGATACATCTCAACCAAAGTCAACATGACTCCGTTCAACATATTGTTGATAGGAGATAACTCAACTTGTGTTTTTATGTATCCATTGTAAAAAGAATCAAGTCAACTTACCCCCCTTTAATTTTAAGAACTTAAACGGAAAAAAGAGCTAAGTCCAAAAAATGCACCAGAGGAACCAACACTCTCTGCTGACTATAGTTCCACGTGACATGTCTCCTAATTCCACTTCGCTTAAGAAATATAAGTTGAGATGACTCTGTTTTCCATTTTAGCGGAAAGTGATAAGTCACACATATCCTATACGCAGTGACCTGACACTCCTGATGTTCATCTCAAAGTTTAACTTACATTTTTTGAACTTGTTATCATCTATAACATTCCATTGTTCAGTTTTAGATTTCCCTGCTAACAGTTTTTTGTTGCTCCTGAAAAATGGTCAAAATGGAGTTATTCCCTTCTTCCGCTTCCTGGATCAAATGTTTATGTACAATTTTGTACGTGGTGATGCATAATTTTAAGGGGGGACATCACTCCCAAAACAGTGCTTTTGTAAAATCGTCATAAAAACCAAACGGAAAGAGATAAATTGTTCATATTTTAACAGATAAAGTATCAAACATCACAAAGTCAATCCGCCAGGGCAGTACAGCGCTTTCGTTGAAAACACAATTTTGAGTGTTAGGTTAGACCATTTCGCACTGTTGCAGCGCTGGACGCCAAACGGTTTGACATAGAACAACGAAATTTGGTGACAGCCTTCCTGAGATGTCTGGCTATGGTGGGTACCTCAATCACTTTCAAAAAACCATTTTAAGTTGTATTTGTTACACACCAAAAAAATCTGTTCAATTTTTTTGGTCAAAATTGTTCAATTTTGAACGTTAAAAAAATAATTAAAATTTACCAATGCAAAATATTTTGCTACCCACCATAGCGGCATGTCGTAGGTGCTTCCATGCTAAATCTCCCCGCTGTGGCTCAAAAACTGCGGCCTAGAGGCCTGCAACCGTTTGCAATTTCATGTTCCGAGAAAAACGCGATCAAAGTTGGGGAAACTGGGCTTTTCCCCTATGCATGTTTTCGGCCCACAACCTCCTAAAACTGCAATTTTTTGAATTTTGGAATGCGGTTTTCACCATTCGACGCAGAATAGAATGGTCAATAATATAAACTAATAAAAAAAAGTTGCAATTTTTGACCATTTTGGAGTGATGTCCCCCCTTAAACTTGTGTGCCGTCGTGCATAAAATTGTGCGTGAATTTCCATAAATTTATGCATTTTCACGCATAATATTATGCAAATTCCCCGCAAGCACAAAATCGTGCGAGTGGCACGTACAAAATTCTACATAAACATTTAGTGTGTGCGTTCGGAACGCCCTGCCTAACTGAGGTCCAGGAATTATTAATCGCTGACTAGACATCGGTATGGAATGTTTACAGTATAATGCATGATGACTATACTTGACGAATTCTAACAGTGCGATGTTTCTCCCGCCCAAGTGCGAAGAATGCATTGACACCCACGTTTAATAAATTTTCAAAAGTTAATTGAAAAGGAGGGTAGGGCATCTAGTGCACTCTTAAAACCTTACGAAGTATTTTGAGCATACGTATAACAAACGAAAATACTTTGTTATACGAAGAAATAGTTCGTAAATTACGAAGTATTTTCTTTGTAAGCTTACGTATGCTCAAAATACTTTTTTATACAAACTACTCTTCTTCGTAAGGCCCAAAATAGTTTGCAAGGTTTTCTCAGTGTGACACTTTTAACATTTTTGGCTGAGCGATAGCGAAGCCCGTTACTCCAGTGCGGTTGAAAAGTTTTGTCTGTCTGTCTGTCTGTGTGTCCGTGTGTGTGTGTGTGTGTGTGTGTACACTACTCCTCCTGAACGGCTCGGCCGATCTGGCTGAGATTTTGCAGGCTTATTAGGTATGTTCTTGGCTCGGCACACGCGAAATTTCACTGTCCTAGCTCAACCGGTTCAGTTTTTATAGCCCAAAAACACCTAAAAAACGGCGAAAAATCGAGTTTTTTTGCAAGTAGATCACTTTTTTTGCAGGTAGATCACCTCTGTCTTGAAGAAAGGGGGGTCCCCAGCCTCGACAAGTTAAAAAGTTACAAGGGTCAAGATCGTGTTATCTGTAGATTAAGCAACTCTTTCTAGAATTAAGGGGGGTTTGGGGGGCGGAGCCCCACAGCATGCAACACGTAAGAAGTAACCGACGATGGACAAGCCAATGCCTGCCGAAGGCAGGCTAGCGCCGCAGGCCAAGGTAGGTGCGCCAGGCGCGGATTGGAGGAACAGGCCGCGAGACATCGCGAAGCCTGTTACGACAAGACGCGGTCTGGCGTAAACCTACCTTGTAGCATTCAATCCAGTTCATTCCGATACTGTGCAAGAAACGAATCTGCTTCCACTTCGGACTTCACACTCCGTTGTATCGTAGTAAGGTCAGACATCAGCTTAACTGGGCCTTGTTTTGTTGGACGAAACATGACCCTTTAACGGTGAAATATAAAGGGATCTCCCATTTTACGGCAAACAATGATCACCCTATACCGCCTATCTAAATGCATAGGGAAGTTTCCTCTGTACGCTTGAAGAAAGGCGTACTGCCTGCACGCCCTTCTTGAAGCGTAATAATGTTACGCCTTAGGTTTATCAGGGAATACTTACCATTTGCTTGTCCATGACGGAGCTGGTGGTCCCGGACGGCCTCTGTGAGCTCCTCGTCGGCACTGCCCGCAGACAGGGCGCCCGGTCCGCCCTCTTTGTACCGGGGCCACTCATTAGCACCGCCAGCCTCCCAATGTTGTCACCGCAGCAAGGCCAGACCCCAGGAGAAAGTGACAGGGCACAGCCGCCGTTCTCGCAAAAAAATGTTTCCAGTGGAAAGAACGATTGAATAGAGTTCTTTTTTAGAGTTTAACAGTATCTATTTTGGAGAGTGGGCGGACTTTTGTTTTACAACAGTGCCGAGGGATGGTGTAGATTTTGTCACAAAGTGCACGCAATGTCTTTGCTTTAGAGGTTTGGTGTACGTAGTGCTGTTTTTACAGTTTAAAAATGGAAAAGAATTTTAAGTTTTCCAAAATTTGCGTAAAGAGTAGAGACTAAAAAGTTTGAAATCAGGGGGAAAAGAGAGGTCAAATTTTTCATTTAACTCATAAATTAACATCAACTGCATTAGCTGCACGCTTTAGCCCTATTAATAAACTACTATCTTTACTGAGTATATCCCTCCATTGTAAGATGCTTGATGCAACGGCTTTTGAGTTATCTTTCCCTCTGCACTGGGAGAGAGAACTGCGGAAGTCAGCTTATAAGATGGCTATTTGACATTTCCGAAAACAAAACCAAACATATTTACAAACTTCAGTAAGGCTTTTATGAAGGTTTTCCTTGGGCTACATTGATGATTGTAGGGCGTAGAAAAGAGAATTTTTAAATGTTCAAGATGCCGCAAACCGATTCCCAAAAAGTTAAGAACTTCCGACGGAAAGTTACGCGCCGTCAAATTTTGTAAGTTTGGCTGGTTATTGTCGCACTCTAAATGTTCTACAGTGAAGATTCTCCATACTATGGTGAAGATGTTCCATATTATGGTGATGCAGCTGACTTCGTAACATACCATTGAGAATTCACTGTACCTTACAGATATTTTGACGAATTTCGTTGGTATTTTGGAGAAAATCTCCACCATAATATGTTGGTGCAGCTTTTCACCGTAAGACACTTACTGTGCGCACCCCCATAACTTCCTTAGAATAAAAGACAAAATAAAACACTGTTGTTTTTAAAATGTTCTATAAATTCTTTTTTGTTTTTCATTTGCTTTCCACCGTTTGTCTCACAAAGTTTTTAAAAAGTCGTCGTAAAAAGGGGATAAAATAACCTCTTAAAGGGACACAGAGACGCGAATACTCCCTTAAATTTCTACGGGTTGAAAAAAAAAGATTCTAAATAGTTGACGAACAGTTCTAAGCTGTGCCTATCAACTTCCACAAAAAAAAATCGATTCCTCCAGATCTTTGAGATTAGTCAGAAAATAGCCTTTTGGGAGTTCTGCCCCTGACAGGCAAACAGTTATTTACAGCTTCGTCAGAGCAGTTTAACAACGCTTTCATGGCCTTTAAGAGATGCTAAGTGAAGTGGCAGCAGTCGGCGCGCATCATGCACGTTAATGTCACATTTGTTCGCGAGCAGCAGTTTAACTACGTTTTCGTGGCCGAAGAATGATGCTATGTGAAGTGGCGTCGCTCCGTCTCTGTCTTGCACGTTAAAAAGACAATTGTAGTCGAGCAGCAGCTTTACTACTTCAGCATGGCCCTTTAGAGATGCAATGTGAAGTGGCGTCCTGCTATCCTCGTCTAGCGCGTTAATGTTGCATTTGTGTTCGAGTAGCAGTTTTACTAAGTTTGCATGGCCTAACAGTGAAGCTGCGTGAAGTGCCGTAACTTTATTCTTATTGCGTACGTTAACGTCACATTTGCTGTTGAGCAGCAGTTGGACTACGTCTGCATGACCATTTTGAGATGCCAAGTGAAGAGGCGTCACACCGTTCACATCTTGGACGTTTTTGTCACATTTGAAGAGAAGCAGCAGCTTCACTACTTCAGCATGGCCATTTTGAGAAGCGGCGTGAAGTGGCGTTCTTTTGTTCTTGTCTGGCTCCTCAAAGTTGCATATGCAGTCGAGCAGCAGTTTTACAACGTTTGCATGTCCTTCCAGAGATGCAATGAAGAGTGGCGTCGCTCCATCATAATCTCGTGCGTCAATATCACCTTTGTTTGCGAGCAGCAGTTTAACAATGGCTTCGTGGCCAAAGTTTGATGCGAAGTGAAGTGGCGTCACACCGTCCACATCTTGGACGTTTTTGTCACATTTGAAGAGAAGCAGCAGCTTAACCACGTCAGCATGGCCATTTTGAGAAGCGGCGTGAAGTGGCGTTCTTTTGTTTTTGTCTGGCACCTCAAAGTTGCATTTGCAGTCGAGCAGCAGTTTTACAACGTTTGCATGTCCTTCCAGAGATGCAATGAAGAGTGGCGTCGCTCCATCATAATCTCGTGCGTCAATATCACCTTTGTTTGCGAGCAGCAGTTTAACAATGGCTTCGTGGCCAAAGTTTGATGCGAAGTGAAGTGGCGTCCATCCGTTGTTGTCGTGCACGTTTTTGGCACATTTGTCGTCGAGCAGCAGCTTCACTACTTCAGCATGGCCATTGTGGGATGCATGGTGAAGTGGCGTCCTGTTATCCTTAGTTATCACGTTAACGTCACATTTGCTCGCGAGCAGCAGTTTAACTACGTCTCCGTGGCCATTGAGTGATGCCAAGTGAAGTGGCGTCCATCCGTCTTTGTCTTTCACCTTAATGTCACAATTGTGGTCGAGCAGGAGCTTTACCTTTTCAGCATGGCCATTTTGAGATGCAAGGTGAAGTGGCGTCATGCCATCCTTGCCTTGCGCGTTAACGTCACATTTGCTTGCGAGCAGCAGTTTAACTACGTCTCCGTGGCCATTGAGTGATGCTAAATGAAGTGGCGTCCATGCGTCTTTGTCTTTCACGTTAATGTCACAATTGTGGCCGAGCAGAAGCTTTACTGCTTCAGCATGCCCATTTTGAGATGCAACGTGAAGTGGCGTCGATTCGTCCTTCTGTCGCAGGTTCATGTCACAATTGTATTCGAGCAGCACCTTTACCACTTCAGCATGGTCGTTTTCCGAGGCAAGGTAAAGTGGTGTCATGCCGTCCTCCTGCAGCACGTTAACCTCACATTTGTTTGCCAGCAGCAGTTTAACTACGTCTTCGTGGCCATAGAATGATGCTACGTGAAGTGGCGTCGCTCCGCCTTGTCTCGAACTTCAACGTCACATTTGTAGTCGATCAGCAGCTTTACTACATTGGCATGGCCCTTCTGAGATGCAAAGTGAAGTGGCGTCTTTCTGTCCTTACCTCGGACGTTATTGTCACATTTGCAGTCAAGTAGCAGTTTCACTACCTTGGCATGGCCACGTAGTGATGCTAAGTGGAGTGGTGCCAGTTTCTCTGTATTTCGCACGTCAACCTCACATTTGTAGTTGAGCAGCAGTTGCACTACTGCTGCATGGCCATTTAGAGATGCAAAGTGAAGAGGTGTCTGGTCGTTCTTGTCTAGCATGTTCATGTCACATTTGTAGTCGAGCAGCAATTGTACTACGTTTGCATGGCCAATCTGAGATGCAAGATGAAGTGGCGCCACACGTCCTCATTTTGCATGTTAATATCACCCTTGTTTTTCAGGAGTAGATTTGTTATGCTTTTGTGTCCCGCAAGAGCTGCAAAATGCAATGGCCTGTTCCCTTTAAGGCTGCCCTCATTGACGTCTGCACCTGTTTCGAGGAGACGTTTACAAGTAGGCTCGTCTCCTGAAAGTGCTGCTAAATGTAGACGTGTTATCTGATCCGGCTTTGCTTCGATTTCTTTGCCAGGTGGCGTCAAATGCTTCTGTGGGTTCAGGAAGGCTTGTAGGGTAGCCTTAAACAAAATCGCATGTAATTTGTTGTCATCAGTTTCTTGATACGGTAACTTATCAGAATGTGACTTTTGGAGCACGTTACTTCCTGAAGATAGGAGAAGGTTCACCATGGTTATATTTTTCGCTTTAATTGCGTAAAGAAGTGCCGTCATTTTGCTGCTATCTGTAGCATCGATTTCACACTGAAACGATAGCAACAGTTTTGCAGCACCTTCATGGTTGGATTTGACGGACAAATGCAGTGCCGTCTCCGCTTCTGCTGTCTTTGCCAGCATATTGCAGCCGTGTGATTGGAGAAGGGCAATTATCTCTTCCTTGCCGTCACTAGCTGCGTAGTGTAGTGCTGTCATTCCGCTGTTCGTTTTTGCGTCAACTTTGGCTCTCCTTTCCAGAAGTAACTTCACCACTGATGGGTTGCCACTTCTCCCAGCGAAATGAAGAGGTCTTTCACCATCGACGGATCGTGCATTCACGTCAGCCCCTTTTGAAACGAGCAGGCGAACTGCATCGGTCATCTTGTCGATGTTGGCGCATGGCTGCCAAGCCGTTGCACAGGCTAAATGGAGTGCTGTGAGTTGCCTTGAAGTGACTTTCAGATTGGCGTCAAAGTTATTTTTGGCTAATTCATGCAGTGTCATTTTTATCATGGAACAATTTTTAGTCAATACGGCGGCAAAGAATACATCAATGATCTCAGCCTCGGGTATCAGGTGTCTGTGGGCCCACAGGTGCGCAGATAATTCAGGTAAGTTTTCAAGTAAAGCTGTGTCAAGAAAATTTCTGTGGGGCAGGAAATAGACACTAAATGGAACGTCCTGGTTTAAACTCGAAATCAGCTCGACAAGTTTAGTATTTTCAGTTTTAGCATCCGGCCACGTGACTTTGATTTGACTCTTTAGCGGCCATGATGTAGCGCCACCCAGTGCTGGCTTGCTGCCTTCTAACTTTCTATCCAAGAAATAGCGAACAAGTGCAAAATCTTCTGCCTTTAAAACAATCGATATGTCATGGTGTGTGAGTTTTCCATTAGCCATTTGATTCTTCAAATAAAGACTGAAATAATATTCTGCATAGGTTCGGTGCAAGAAAATGTGCGTGCCTTCTTCACACTCGGTAACGAGTCCGAATTCCTTGGCCTGGACTCTCTTTGCGGTATCCAACTCTTCTACAAACTCGTACTCATTAATTGATCCGGGGAGGATCAGGGCCCTTATTGCAAGAAGCTGATGAAGATTTTCCACTTCAATCCGCTCTGTATCTTTAATCTGAGTTATTCTCTCACTTTTGCTACTTGATATTCCTAAAACTTTCCAGTATTTCTGGAACATTTGATCCATAAAACTCTGGTAAATTTGCTGCCTGTTCATTTTATGGATTTCATCTTTGTGCTCAAGAAAAAGATCTGCCACCATTGTTAAATGCTGAGGATTGCCATAAAATGGCTCTAGTGGGTCTTCCTTTAGTGGGCTTTCCAGAATTCTGGTTGCGTGTTCATAGCATTCGCGGTAGGAACTCTCGTTCACGTCAAGTAGTCGAGCCAGTAGTTCCTTTTGCTCCGAAGGTCGCAGGCTGCAGAGAGAATAAGATTGGAAACCGACAAAATCAACTTTACGCAAATGCTGCTCTGGGCTTGTTCGTGACGCAATCAAGATGACGTTTTCAAAATGAAGTAAACCTTTGACAAAATAAAAAAAAATATCCCAGTAAGATGAGTTTATTGCTTCAAAGCTGTCGAAAAGAATCGCCATTTTACCATGTGTAGCCAGCTCAAACAGGTTTGCTTCAAATGGAGATAGCTCTTCAAAATTCGCCAGTATTTTTAAGAGCTCAAGACAGGAAACAAACTTGTCACTTTCAAATGGTGCGGTTGCAGAATCTGTGGTAAACACCCATCGTGCCTTTTCGAGATCACATTTCAGAACCCAGAAGTCTGACTTGAGTTCCTTTATGACTAAGCCGACACTGTTCAGTAGAGCGGACTTGCCTGCCCCGGCAGGGGCAGAAACAATAACATGTCGCTCGCGGAATACGGAATCAACAACTTCTGACTCAGAAAAAGTTCCCTCACTACTTTGCAAATCGCGTTCTTTGTAGCTCCTCGGCCGAGGGTCTAATTCGTTCCCCACTTTTGTGAAATATTCCAAATGACTAGCATTATACGTAACGAGGGATTCCACAGCCGTACTTTCTAAAGCAGTTAAGAGAGCTGCTTCGGCCCCAACGAGGGAATGCATGTCCACCAATTTGCCCTGATAGTTGATTTTCAATTTGAGGATAGCTTGTAAGGATTCTTGAGTGATGTGAGCAGGTTTAACTTCAGGAACGACAACACAAGACTCGGTCTCGTATTTTCGATTCGAAATCACGTAGACTTGAATTTTATTGTTGATGTCGATTAGCTGTTTAGCAATCCGCAGAGCCTCGTGACCGTGGCCCACACCATCATCTATGAGCAACAACGCTCCGTCGTGCCGACAATAACCCCACAACAACTCCATTCCAGCATCGTGACACACTGCACAAGGATATGCCGCGACATTTTTCCCAATTGTGCGTAGAAAGAGTTCTGTGAGAAAAGCGCACGTTCTTGGCTGAGTGGTGACTAGGACATTTAGACGGTGGGTCAAAGACTCGAGGGTGTTGAAAGCAGGTGTTTCATTGCAGAAACTAATAGAACTAGTAGTCAGTGAGCGCCGATTCATAATATAATTTTGAAAGTAGCTACCAAAGCAATCCTTCAAAACGTTCTCATTCGTCAATGGCCCTCGTTTTGTACGTTTTGGGCTATAATCTGTAGCCCAGTCCATCACAAATCTATTGAAACAGTCGTAAAGTGTGTCCACATGGACATCTGGGACTTTCAGTTCTTCAATTCCAACAATTTGCAGCTTGACTTTCCTCAACGTTTCTTTGATCAACGGTTTGAGTGCATCTTGATTGGGCTGGTCAATTGCCAATATCAGCATTCTCAAATATTCTTCTTTCAACTGAGCGTGTTCATCACTGGATAATCCTTTATAGAACTCTTTGGCACCCTTCTCAATATTCTTCTGGTTCTTTGGATCTTCACTAAATGCGACGCTCAGATGATCTGACAGATGGTTCATCACTTTAGTTGACAGTTTGTAAAATTTTTGATCATCTGCAGTCTTTGTGCCACCGAGTAAAGTCTTCAGAAAGTCGGGCAGTTCACATTCTTCTACGGCAATTTTAGGGTCATTGACATCACACACGGAATCTTTCAAAGCGGGGACAATGCCCTTGTTTGTGAAGATCAGAAAATTTGTTACTTGCTGCTTATTTTTTTCAGCTAGCCATTTACATCCTAAAAACGAACAGAAGTGCTCTTGCAAAGAAAAATCTCCTTTTGGCTTGTAAAATTCGTCTGCTTTTATTTTGTCGTTTGTCACAGAATGTTTAGCTTGCATGTGGAACAACTTATCTTCAAATTTGAACGTCACGTCGTCAAGTGTGCCGTAACCCCGTTCTTCTGACGTAATAGAAAACTTGTAACCATGCTGCAGTCCACGCAGAGCAAGTAGGGCCGCGATTTGAATTTGATAAAGATTTCCTTTTAATGGTGGTATGATTCCACCACCTGGCCTCACTTCAAACTGAACGGGGTTTTCATCATGCCTGAAACACAGTCGAGAAATGATAAGAACCTCGCCCCAACTTGAAATTGGACCAGAACTTTAACAAACTTGGAAGTCTTCTTTACTGTCAACTCCACTGTCACAAAAGCTAAAACGAACCAGAATAAATTTTATCAAAACCATTTATAATTTTAAAAAAAATTAAATGGAATCATTTGATTTTTTTTATTGTGACAGTTGTCTTTGGTTTCTATTCTGTATTTAGGGTTTGATCAGCAGGGGTGATAGAAGGAAAGCATACCAAGTTTCAATGAGATCTCATTATTCGTAAAAAAGTTTCAGGGCCCGGTGAAATTTAAACTGCTCGATAAAGTGGAAAAGTGACTGTACCATCCAGCCATCCAAACATCCTACCAAGCTCAAAAAATATTTCAGCAAGAGAATAAATGCCCTTACCCAAAGCACTTCTTTGTAAATGAGTATTTCCAAATACTATGTTCGATTTTGGGGTTTAACTTAGATATTGGGCCTTAATGAGCCCGGACAAAAGGAATACACGATGTCGATAGAATGCCCAAAGCGATAAATGCCCTAGGGAATAAGAGACCTGGAACATTGGACTTCTACACTCCCAATATTCTACTGAGAAAATCCGCGTATTACGAAGAAAAAGCTCAGTGTACAAAACAGTGTCAGCAGCACTGTTGCGTTCTAGGATGCCAAATGGACGCAGAACGAACACGTCAATAACGAGCCGAGGAGGGGCATCAGAGCCATACTCACGTTTTGTCAGCGTTCACTTTTACGTGGACGCCCAAGGTGGTGCCCTTGGTTCCGCTCTCGTTTGCTACCGTAGGGAGAGTTTGCCGGTCCGCCATGCTCGGTTCAGAGCCAAACTCCGGTCGGTTGCGTGGTGCTCAACCTGGAATGCACAGTTGGACGCTACTCAGTCGTGCGTTTCAAGCGTGCTACGTATTTCAAAGAAAGCAACATAGCAGCGAGAGAAATGCCCTAATTGTTTGTTCCCTACCCTAAAAAAAAAAGTCTAGTTAAAAGTACCAGACTGTTCCTAGTTAAACGAGCACTGGCAATAATAACCAAAAACCTTCTATTTTACACCAGATTTTCAGTTATATCTACTAGCATGGGTATGGTAACATTTACCAGACGTCTAGTTAATATACCTGGTAAATGTAACTATACTGCTTAGTAACTGTCGTCAAACTTAAGATGGCAATGGACTATATTTTAACAATGCGTCTTGAATCCCTTTGGTTCCCTGCAAACTCCAAACCACCGTTTTGTAGCCGGAAATGCCACTCTTATAGCTGCATTAGATGAGCGGCTAAACGATGCGCAGTGTCATCGGGCGGGGACACACGGCTCCCCAATGTGGCGTGTTAGCGCAGTGGTACCGAGCTTGGCTCGTAAGTGGAAGATCGGAAGTTCGATCCCGGCCAGATGCAAGCCGGAAAAATACTTCACCTCAACTCTACGTTCTCCCAGCATACATGTGGGGGCGTAAAGTCGCAAAATCCCTTTTTCTTCTTCTTTTTTCTCTTTTTATAATTCAAAAATTTTACTAGAAGTTTAGTTAATTTTACTAGATTGGGGGCCTGATGGCATGGTAAGAGTTACAAAGAATCTGCTTTTTACTAGGCAGAGATCAACTAGGCAGTCTGGTATTTGTAACTAGATTCCTTGTTGGTTCCTATTCAATTAGACTGTCTGGTAATTGGCACTAAAATCCTAGTTGCTGTAACTTGACTTTTTTTTCAGCACATACCGCATGTCATGAGACTTTTTGTCTCATGACGGATGCAAATTTTACGTTAAAATATGGGTGACATCGGAGATGGTCATGCAAAAGGTGGCAAATCTCTCCTGGAATTACCCTTCTGGGACTAAGCACCAAAATATGGCGAGGTAAAAATCAGTGCGTAGTGGGCCTTATGGGATTCCACCGGCAGGAGCATTTACACCAACATGTCATGTTCAAAACATAATTCAAACGGAAAAGAAAACTGTCTATTGTACCTTGGCGTATGCACTGCCAACTGACGGTCATTTTTTAATCGTTGCCTAACCACCGCCAATGCTTGTCATGTCGCAGGAAATAAATTTGAACTCCGTTTTTTGTTGGTAGCCTGCTCCTCCAGTTTCAACCCTAATGCGCACCTCCTAACCCCCACCACGCACTGGCAAAAAGTCTTGCAAAATTTGGCCAAACCAGAAAGCCTTCCTAAAATTGGCTCAGACCTAAAAGTCTCACCACAAAATGATCAGACCACAGTACAGGTCACATCAAACAGCATTGAATAAGTTCACAATTGTGTCCAAACTGTAAGTAATCAGACCAAAATGTCTGACCAAGTTGCGTGCGGTTAAACTTGTTGGTCTGACCACATTTCGGCAAGACTTTCAGCTCTGACCAAAACTCTTGTCAAGACTTATTTTTGCCTCGCCTCTGAAGTGGCAAAAAGTCTGACCTTTCAATTTTCGGGTGTCTATCCTATCGTGTTGTACAAACTCACCTGTTAAAAAGCAGCGAGAACCAACGAGCTCAACCCTACCACTCGCACCTGTGATTTGTTGACTGACTGACGGCAGACAAGCAAGTTGGATGTGAATCAGCCGCAACTATCTAATCTAATCACTTTGCCACCTCTCGAACGTTCTCTCGCCATTTCGATACAGCCTTCAAACTGAAATAATTTGCACTGCCTCTTTTCCATCCATATGCAAAGTTTTGAAAGCAGCATTTACTTGAACAGTTCAAATACGCACTAAATGTCATGGAACTTCTTTGTCCCATGGATAATGCAATTTTAAGATCATCCGATGGTGATATAATTTAGCGTCCGCCAGGTGAGACAAATTGCCTTATGAAAGTTCAATTTGCTCAAGGCGTCGAACAATATGTGTCACTAGGCGGGAACAAAATTGTATCACCGTCGGATGAGCTGAAAACTGCATAACTTGTGGGACAAAAAATGTCCCATGACATTTAGTGTGTACATTCAATAAAATGAAAACATTGAGGGTAATCTGAAAAAATGGGCAACATGTTTCCATCAGTGACTTTTTTTTTGCGGTGCATTTCACATGGCACAGATGAATAAAAAGCTGGGTAAAAACTTCGATTTAAACGCTTTGGCTATGTTTTCAGACTGCACTGAGCGCTAGAGGCCCTTTCTGAACGCGCACTCTTAATGTCATAATGGACTTTTCTTGTCCCATAGATGAAACAATTATGAGATAGTAAAATTTTGTGGCAGCCCGGCAGGACACATTGTCTAGAGTAAATACTTTGCTGCAGGCGTCTGCTAATACGTGCCAGCAGGCTGGAACACCGCCTTATGCGCTAAAAACTGCATAAGTCGTGGGACAAGAAATGACCCGCAAATGTTGTAACAATTAGCGTAGTCCCACATGCGACTCAACGATGCGCTGGTCCTTTCTGTCAGTCAGCTCCTTACGGATACGGGGTTCGTAACGGATGGTTTTGTTCAATCAACGGGATGGAATTTAGTTTTTAATACATTCTTTGACGTCATACAGAGTTTTTGACATCCGTAACTAGCGGACACGAAACCTTTGCATTAAGGATCAAATCGCATGCGTAACGTACTAACCCAGTGTCCGTAAGGACTTAAATATGCAGATATCTGCATATTTAAGTCCTTACGGACACGCATATGCGTGGGATCTTTGACGAGGCTGATGTAATGGGGCCTTGCAGTGGTACAGCCCGCAGTCGATAAAGTACGTCGCTGGCTTGTCACGAGGCTGGCGAGCTGCATGCGGCTCGCCACTCCCACACTCTTAAAACTCCTTACGGCGATACGAACAGTTTTAAGGGGAGGTTCTACTGAAAATCTTACTTTCTTCCGATTGAGTCCCATTATCAATATTCATTGTAAATTTAAAGTATTTCATAGTAATTAGTTAAATTTGAAGTTTGGAGAGCAATACCTAGCCCCAAATCCAGTCGAAGAGGAATTGTCTGCGATTTCCAGTCTTAACTTGAAAATGTCTCCTAGGCAAAGTATTTCAACGTAAACAGATGTTCTGGGCATTTTTCACTTCTTTGGTTCATACTTGATAAACCGTGGCATTAGTAAGATACTGGGTCCATTACAAAATCATAAGCTGTGTTTTTAAGACAGCATGTCAATAAAATTTCAAGAAAATGGTGAAAATCCTGATATTTTAGTGTCTTTTTTTCTGAAAAGCAACGCCAAAATTAATTTGTTGCGTCCCATGTCTTGGTGATACCACGCTTCATTGCATATGAGCCAAAGAAGTGAAAAATGTCCAGATCATCAGTTTACGTTGAAATACTTTGCGTAGGAGAATTTTCAAAGATATTGCTAAAATAGGTTGAAAAAACCTCTTTGACTGGATTTGGACGGAGGTATTGAGCTCTAAATTTCATGTTTGACTATGTATTACCATACATCTGCAACAAATACCTTACACTGGGGCTCAATTTGAAAAATGCAATATTTTCAGTAGAACCTCCGCTTAAGAAATGGGGCATTCCACCCCAAATCGGCCACTTTTGTAGGTCACCATTTTGGATCAAAATAAAATTATTTTTGTACGTAGACCTTATCCAAAAAAAAATTCTGTGCAAAATCTCAGCCAAATCGGTCCAGTAGTTCCTGAGAAAAGCGCCCTCAAAGTTTTAGTCAAAACTACATTTTGATGGTTTAAGCAAATTCGCACTTTTTCACTTTTTGGCCGATAAATCCGTTACTATTCAAGCTACGATGATTCCCAGCACGGTTTTTGAAAGGGGATACTGTGAGGATTCAGAAAATGTACTTGAATTTGAGATGCGACTAGCTAAAGGTGGTAAAAAGTGTAAAAAATCGCAGAAAATGTTTTTTTTTTTTTGAACCAATTTTCAGTGAGTTTTCCGGTCTATGCCCGTATCGTGAAAATCCGAACCGAATAGCGGAAATTGTAGCCCATACCATGCCCAAACACGTTACTATCTCGGAATTGTTGGGTGTGGGTCTAGTTTCGGAGCTGCAGCGACTCGAAAATTCGCAAAAATAGGTCAAATTCTGTTTTTGGCCAAAGTGCAAGCGGGGGGATCTTCACTTATCCTAAAACTCACTAGCCCTAATGCTCACTCACCCTAATTTCACTAGGCCTAATATGTACATGGCCGAACGGGTTTGGAGTGCTGTTTCACTCACCCTAATTTTCACTTGCCCGAATTGTCACATGCCCTAACTTTCTGGTGCTGAGCCGTTTTCCAATGGTGTGGGTGCTTTGTTTCACTAGACCTAATTCTCATTTACCCTAAATGTCATATGGCCGAAAGATGCACGTGCGTAGGAAGTGTTTCACTCGGCCTAATTTTCACTGGGCCGAATTGTCACTTGCCCTAAAACTGTAGGAGGAGGGGGGGTACGGCAGCGGCGCTGGAGGGGCAGGCGAGCGCAGGGCGGGAGACTGTCACTACCCTCCACGGACAGGGAGCCCAGCGGCCCGCCAAAGGGGTTGCCTACCTGCAAGGCGTTAGGGAGGGAGCCACTTCTAAGAAGCGTGAATGTGCAGTGGGCTGCATCTTGTTGGGATTGCTTACTTCAACCACAATAATAAATTGAACCCGCGCTGCTGCCACGGGACCGGCATCTCTCCGTCTCGAGGGGTCCACCACTCAGCTCAGAAGTGTATACAGGATGACTGATTACCAGTGATTAACTACAAAAATTCTTCAAAAAAAAAATTATAATTTTGGTCTGCAAGGGACATTTTTTGCTTATTTTTGTAAGAAAACCTTCCAAAAGCCGATTAAAACAGTGAAAATATCTAGTGTACACACGACTACCAGAGTAGTGGACCCCTCGGTCCGTCTTTTACATAGTAGTAACGAAATATTCCAATTAAATGAAATTTGAGCTTGCGTTCGATGCGACTGCTGCACTCCGGTAAGGTCTCTTCTTGAGCCCTGCTGGGATGGACCGGCCTGCGGCCGGCTCACGCCAGTGCGGCGGCATGGCGGCGGTATCGGCTGAAACAGAAGTCACCTGAGCGAGACGAGCGGTCTCTACCACCGCAGCCGAAACGCCCATGGGCCGGCCCATCCCAGTCTCTTCCTTGCCAATGTGGAAAAGAGCACCCGTCCCGTCTCAGGGCATCGCGAGAATACTAGGGCGTTGCGTGTGGCCACACATCTTCCACAATAAAAGTGGAAAGTTTGCACAAAAATTCGTAATTTCTGCCATTTTTCTAACTCATGCCGATAAGTTGTGTTCAAAATGGCAAAAGTAAAAAATAACCCCCCTTACGCTAGCGAACAAGGTCTGCTCTGCAAGCCTGAGCAATCGGAACGACGATCGGACGCGCGCAGCTCCCGCAGGATTTTTTTAAAGTTGAAATTTTCGAGGTTTTCTTCCACAGCGGATTCAGTCAATCGCCTCTATAGCCCATACTACCTGTCGCCCCGGCTCGGAATGAAACCAATAACAGGAAAAGTAGCGATATACATCGGCAACTTTGGCCCGTCCCGTGCATTGACAAATGTGTGAATTTCGCCTTTGTTTAACCCTGACGGGTTTGAACCTGAGTCTGGGGACAAAATAGATGTTATTTTCGTCATCAGCGCCCTCAAAAACATAAGAAACAATGCAAAAACTCGAATAAAAAGAATGTTCAAAATATACCCCACTGGGATTTGAACCCGGGTCCAAACTTCTCCGATTCGCTTGAAACTAGCACCGTTGGTTTTGTCTCGTCGCCCCGATTCCAAAAATACCCCTACATGCCCTGCTAGCTGTGTCCGTTGCAAAACTCCTCCTCGACCCCACGTAGACCATGATACACCTGCAGCAGCGCCCACGGGGCTCGGATCGGATTTGCTGCCACCGCGCGGTTCTTAGGATCACCCAAGGAGGCTGCATACCAAATTTGGTCAAGATCGGACCACGGGAAGTCCTCGGACGAACGGACGAACGAACGGACGCACAGCATGCATCATATGCCCGTTCCTCCGTCATTTTTTTACAAAAAAATAAACGGGACGGGCCAAAAACTGCGCTCAAGTTTCTCCAATCGAACGCCGTCGTCCGTTTTATTCCAAGTGCAATAGTTTTCGAACGGCAGCGTTAGAAATGCGGCGCGGCGGCACCGGCTGCGTCCGAGCCAGCCGCCGGTGCCGCTTGCCCCCACTCCACCGCCCTGAGTGCGACGCGCCGCGACGCGTCCGCCCGGAGGCAGCCCGGCAGGCCTCGCTCCGGCAGCGCGCGCGCCTCGGGTCCTACACACTAAATGTTTATGTACAATATTGTACGTGGTGATGCACAATTTTAAACCTGCGTACCGTCGTGCATAAAATTGTGCGTGAATTTGCATAAATTCATGCATTTTCACGCATGATATTATGCATATTCCACGTATGCACAAAATCGTGTGGGTAGCACGCACAAAATTCTACCTAAACATTTAGTGTGTAGCCCAGGATACAAGGGCCACTAGCTGGAAAAACAAAGTAAAAAGCTGAAATTTGGTGGACACGTACATTCGACTGTGGAGAACAAGAAACCGTTGAGTCCCATTCTGGGACTGTTGGGCAAAATCCGCAATTTGCAAAAAACCGTTCGAAATGTTCAATTTGCTTTCAACGCCCGTGGCGACCAGAGTTTTTATCCGAACTCGGTGCGACAGGTATTAAAATGTTCAGAAAAGAATGTGGAACAAAATAGCAATTGCTTATTTTCCGTAAACAGCGTTCATTTCCCCACAAATGGTATTGAACGGAGATTTTTAGTCCGCGCACTTGTTCAATTTTCAATCAACTCGCCCGCGTTTCTGTTCGACCCATCGCAGCGTAAAATTGTTCCTTATGAACGATGTGCGCCAAACCTTTCCCTTCACGATGCCGTTTTCTCCTCCCCGATACGACCACCCTGGACCTGTCAAATCGCCCTGGACTGAACCGCTGCAGGACCCTGCCGCCCTGCGCGCCGCGCGGCCCCGCTGCTCCCTCACCACTACTCGGCGGCGGCCGCGCCCGAGAGCCGGGGAGCGTCTCTCTCGCACCCCCACTCCGCGCGCGGGTGCGAAGGAGACGGACAAGACGGCCGCTTCGGAGGGACGGGGCGCGCCTGGACGCGCAGAATAAAGAACTAAGTTTTCCGTACGGGGAGGAGTGGGACGAAAAAACAAATTTCGGGACCGCAATCAGCGCAACGCGCTGAATTGCCTGATA